TTGCACAAGACAGGTGTCTGTTATTTCTGTCCCACAGTCCTCATGTCAGCTGCCAAGACGCCCCACCCATGACACATCTCTCCTCAGGGCAGGTCTTCTCCCTTTTAAATTCTTTTCCCAGGACTAGTACTAACCGCTTTCAGTGATTGGGAGTGTCTTCTGCAGGAAGTGGGGAGATAAGCCAACTAGTAAAGCAAGTGGCCGGTGGCTTGTGGCACTCGTCACTGCTGGTCACCCGCGTGCAGCGGAAGCAGGCGCAACTCTTGACCTGCCAGGCGCCCCAGCTGCGGAGCAAACCCACGGTGAGTGACTTCCCCACGGGAGGCCTCACCGACAGGCTCCGGACTCGGGCCCTTGGAGGCTACTACGGAGGCGAGGGCACTGCCAACACCGATGGGCGGGGCACCGTCAGGAGCACATCTGGGAGGGGAGGGCGCAGGAGTCCCGAGTGCCCACCCTCCCACCAGTGCAGCGAGCTTGGGTGCAGGCCCTGCTGGAGTCCAGGGCAGCGGTGAGAACCGAACAAGGGCTGCGTAAGCAGCAAAGCGTCACCCAGGTCTGGAAGCGGTGGTAGCCATGAGCCAGGACCATAGGACACTGATTCTCCTCTGATCCCAGAGGTGTAGGCGTGTCCAGAGAGCAGGGACATACCTCAGAGCAGAGGGCGGGGGGGGGGGGGGGGGGATGGACCAGGGACTGTAGGTGGCGCGAGGGCCAGCAGGTTGGACAACCACAAGGGACCTATGCTGTTGGGACTGCAGGAGCATAGGGGGCTCCACCTCCCCAAAGAATGTCACCTATCTCGGGAGAGTACTGAAACCCAGTCATAGGTCCCTTGTCTTCCTCTCGATCCAGACAAAGCCAAGAGCCATTGGAACGCAAATGCCCCTGCGAGGGACCATCAGTCCCCCCCTACACTGCAATGCCAAGAAACTGATGTTATGTCCTGTGAAATCTGTCCTTCCTTCTGCTGAAAGGAAGGAGCCACCTTAGGAATGAAGAGAAGGGGGCTGCATGGAGGGACCCAGAGCTGATGGATGTAGAGTCCCTGATGCAGCAACAAATAAAAGTAGACGGAACCCAGCGGCAGCTGGCCCCTTCGCTGCTTTGAAAATGCGGGTTACCACGTAGGACATTGCAGAAGCTTCCCCAACATTGTCACTGTTTAAGAACTTGGGGACTGATTTCTATTTACCGTTTCCTGCCTGACCGAAGTCAAACCTCTGAAGGTTGACGTGCGACAGACATGCCACAGGGTGGGGCGAGGGGCCACTGTGAACGCTGGGCGACCAGGTCTAACAGCAGTACTCAGTGGGAAAAGTGCCCTTTCGGAGTCACTCCTCCAGAGCCTCCAGGAACTTGCGGAGGAAAATTTCACCCCAAACTGCCCTCTAGGGAACATTTACACACCATACATTATACGGAAGCAGAGGCAACTACAAAACCCACAACTCAGTTCTGCAGCAGATGTGGGCACTGGACTGCAGCACTGAGCAGGCAGACCCTGGAGCAAGCCAACTGCAACGCACTCCTGTTTCACTGCTCACAGAGAATGGTCTGCTGTGCGTCCCCTCATTGAAGCCTGCATAAAACCCCAAAGTGGACACTACAGTCGCTCCCCTTGGACAAAAAAGAGAAGGAGGTCCAGAGAAGTAACTTGCCTAGGGTAAGAGCAAGCACTGGACCGAGCTGTGGAGTTGAAAATACAGCCAGTGCGCCGAGGGCGCTCCGCCAACGGCGGCGCTCCAACTGGGGGGCTAGCACCCAGGAGAACTCCCCACTATTCTCCCAGTCCCTGTGAGATTTGGGAAATCCACTTCACACGTGCCATTCTCATGGGACACCTGAGAGCTACTGACAGGATGTCGCATCAACCCACTTTCCAAAGATGACAAAAAGAAACATCGTGAAAGTTCTGTATACGGCCACCTGGTAATTCCTGCCTTTCTTGGAGGCCTGTTTTCTAACATTTTGTGATGCCACACATGTTGTGAATTTGAGTTACGTTTAATTATGTACACAGAAACTTCAATAATAAAACACTTTAAAACGCTAATTCGCACCGCCAGGTGAGCCACCTGCTCCTCCCTGCCGGCTGAGTGGAGCCTGGGTGCAGGTGTGGAATCACCTGCGAGGCTGCTTCATGAACACAGGTGGCCAACCCCACTCGACTCCAATGACAGGCTCTGGGTGTGATGGGCACGTCTGTGAGGACAAACCCTCCACAGCTGAGTCTGGTGTGCAGCCGGATTGAGAACTCGTTTCATCGACGGGCACAGGGATCCAGCGGTCTGACAAGATCACCTGGAGTTCACCAAAACCACCGTGTTTTTACTAGACCTTGCTTACCCACTGCTGGTCAGGGAAAGGGGAGCTGGTGTCTTAAGTTCACTACTGACACTTCACCCTGCTCAGGATGCCCTCCCCTCCCCAACAGACGGGCTTTCTCCTTAGGTCACTATTTCTACAGTATGACGCTAAAATCTTTAAACACATAACCCCGTGAAAGCACCATGAGCCGTTTTGTGCCACGTGGAGCCCACGACTGCATCTCTAGGCAGAGCTTCCATGCGAGTGACCGAGAGCGATGCACCGATCCACCGCCCTGGGCTCTCTCTTGCCCATTCCACGTGTTGTCCTGGCGTAAGCTCTCCCCTTCAGGCAGCCCCGCAGCCCTCTCACCTCCTGCCGGGGTGGTGACATGCTGGCCACGGACCCCGCAGAGCTTAGTACTGCCACCACCCAGGACCTGCCACTTTGTTTCTCCCTTAGCTGACCCTCCCACTTTTACTGCAGCTTCAGCTTAAGAACTCGGGCAACTACAGTGAGTAATGAGTCAACATTGGGAACATTTCCAAGAAAACCCCCCATATCCCAAAGGTAGCAATTTTCAAAATGTAATTGGTAAGATAAACAAGTAAACTACGGTTGAACAGACAAAACGTTTAATGTAACACCTACATGGCCTTTCTCTGAGTGGCAACTTGAAAACACGTTGAGGACCTCTCTGGGTCTGAGAGCACGCACGGAGCTGTGCCCAGAACAGCGCCACCTAATGACTCCATCTCCCACGGGGCACAGGGGGTGGGGGGGGCCTCAACTCCTTTGTCCCATTGCTGCCTCCTGCACCCAATGCCTGGCCACCATCTCCTCGGCTTTTCCTTAGCCCTTGGGGCTCCCGCCCTATCACGTGGCTCCTCCAGAACCCAGGTGAGGCCGGACAGTGGCACCTGGCGACAATAAAAGGAAGTGAATCCAAGCCCCCCCCCCCCCCCCCGCACCCCTCTCCCTCAGGCAGCACCCACGTCCCAGCGCAAGGGGCAGGGAAGCCACACTGTGGGGAGACTGACGGGCGCACGCCAAATCCCCGCCCAGACTTCTCAATGGGCTTACCCTCGGGGGAAACTGGACAAACTGGTCTCAGAGACACTGTACCGAGGCCTGTGGGGTTCTAGATGCTCAGTACTACGTGTTCCCACATTTACGTCCGTGATCTCACTGCAGAAATGCCGACCCTTGAAGAAATCCTAAGGCAGGGAATCGAAAGAACTTGACAATGACAAATACTGTGCCGAGTTAAAGTACGTCCCACAACAGTGGCGATGCCAGAATTCCCTGCTTCTTCATCCCTTCTCACTGCAGGCAGCTGAAGTCTGGGACCTTGAGGGGACATAATGCCAAAGACACACACACACACTGATTTCCACAAAAAGCCACCTAGGGCGTTAAATACAGCGACACGTAAGCCTTCCCAGTCCTGGGTGCGAGCCCAGAGGACACCGTCAGTATTCTCAGGGGACGCACTGACAAGGTGCTACTGTGCATTAAGAGGGACGACACAGAATAAAATAAGCGACTTCCTCAAGGTTTTTCTTGCTGTACCAGAAATTACTCGCCCTGTGTTTCCCCGGAAACAAGTCTCGGGAAGGAGAGCCACGGCCAAGAAAACGAGGACTTTTGTCCTCCTCTTCTGGCACCCAGGGTTCCTGCCACCAGGTCCCCAGCCATCTCAAGTAGGATTCTACAAAGTCTGAGTATGGTCGCATATACCACAGCCAGCACCCCCACAACCTTGACCCCCACATTTCCCACTTCCTTCGTGTATGGCACGAAGACCACGTCCTGCACGCGGAATGAGCCACAATGAACGTGGACACAAAAATGGGTGCTGGGCTGGTGTGCCACCAGCCGCCAGCGGGCGCCTGCCATCCCGGTGCGGCTCCTGTTGATGTTTCCTTATCTAAGACTTGTGACAGGAAGTTTAACAACACAGGACCTAGAAAAGAGGGCCCCGTGGCAAACCCAATGGTCGTTTTGTGGGCCTCATAGAATTCCTGCAGCCTTAGTGATCTCTTTACGCGTAGTTGTAACATCCACTAAACAAAAGCCAGCCTCGGTCTTCGAAGTCCAGCAGGTACACAACGCGCGGTTGATTACCTGAGTAAAATGCTCGCACTCCACAGAAAACCCGAGGAAGTTTCTTCTCACAACCAACACTTTTCAAGTTTCTTTGCCTTCTGAACGCCACCTTAATTTATACTTATGCAAGTTAATTTCTATTAAAAAAAAGACTCTATGTTAGTAATTCATTCACCATAGCAGAGTTCTGCACTTTGTGCGTGGAAGGCACCGACAGGCCCCGGGACGAGGGCCCAGGGCGTTTCTGGGTTCCCTGTTGCTCGCTCCCCAGCAAGTCGGAGCTCTCCCGCCCACGGCAACCACGGACCATCAGCGCTCGGCAGCAGGGACGCCATGTGGACGTAGTCATCGTTCGTGACAAAATCAATTTTAACAATCAGAATGATCTGTTCCACCTCCAAGTTTTACTTCCCAAGATTTTTGGAGCCTGGGTCAATGTAACTACTTTCCTTCTTACACGTGAGACTGGACCTTTATGCTCAGGATACCTGCCAACCATTACCTGGGCCAGGAGAATTGCATAGGAAGATTTTTACTATGTTTACATTGTTCTTAATTTTAAAAAAGCATAGTAAAGAGTCTGAGGACAAATTATTCAACTGTTTATCATACATAAGACCGCATGACTATAATACAAAGGGGGGGGTTCTTTTTCATTTAACGTTACAATATACACAGCAAGTCCGGACCAGATCTTACAATCTGCACACAGGTATTTAACCTTTTCCATGCTGTTTATGTTTACAATGCACAGAAGTCCTGTAACCAAACCGTGTAGTAAAGCACACAAAACTGGACTGTAACATAACACAGTATGCAGAAGCATTAGATTTTATGGTTTCCTTTATGTAAATAGCGGTTTAAAAACTGCTTTTGATTTTTGGTGCTTTTTAAGATGTGGCAACCAGCACAGAAAAAAATGACCTGACCCATAGAAGTATCTTTACCTTATATTCCTAAACAGCAGTAACTACTGAATTCCTTTTGATGTTGCTATACGCAAGATGATATCCTTTTATTCACTGTAAACCTTTATGAACTACCAAGTTCAAAAATCATCCACAGGCTTGACATTTAATTACAAAATAAATATGGGTGTCCTGATTAATAACAAAAAAATTTGTGGTATATAAAAATGAGTATTTCCCAGTTTCCATTCACATCCACATAGTTTTAAGCCTTTCTTTTGTTACTGTTTACATATAAAAACCTGCTTTTGTTCAGAAAAAAACTGACTAGCCAGCCACATGGAACTGACCAGTGAAAAGTAAGGTGGTGTTCTGCTGAGTTGTTTTGAACAGGGTTATCGGCAGAGGTAGATTACTGCTTCTTTTCTAGGCTTCTTTTGATCCTGGACAGGTAAATTGCTCATCTTCATTCTCCCAATTCAACCGCTCAAAAGTGTAACACCCTAAAATTGGTCAATTTAAAATGGGAACAACACAAATTTAGCAACTGCCAGACTGTGTTACATTAAGGCAGCATAATCTCGAAACTAGGCACCTGTTCAACACCAGCCTGTTTGCTTCAGGTCACACAGGAGACTTTCGCTTTGCTCGTGATCTTACTTTGGACCTGTTGGTGCAACCAAGGTCTCGCTTTCAAGTTCACAAGTAGATTACTCAGGGATACAAGAATCGACTGCTGGCTCCACAGCTTCTGGACCCAGTGCCCCTCTCCCTTCAGAAGCCTGAACACATTCAGAATGTAACAGATGTTGGAGTCTTGAATTAGATGTCAATCTATTATGTTCAGTACACAGATTGCTGTAAATGTATTGGCTATGGATTCGACAACAGTTCCAGTTTTGTTTAAGCAATAGTACAGCCATAATTTCAACTGACATTTAAAAATGGTCTAGTTACACCTTGTGTCAAAGTGCAGAACTGCTACATTATTGGTTACAGACATCTATGTGCTATAAAAACAGCTTTGGTACAATAAATTATCAAAAAAGAAAATAAATTTTTGTAAAATTCACAGCATAATTGTGAGGCAAAAAAGCAGTCACATAAAATTCTGCATTTTTTAAAAATGTTCAGGATGAACAGAAGACATCTTTGTGCAGAAGAAATGGTGGAGATACCACGTGCCGAGAAAAAGCAAAAGAAAAAGTAAAAAGCAGGAAGGGACACAGCTGTAGCTATTTCCGTCAAAGCAAACCACTACCTCTGTGACCTTCAACCAATAAGGAAGTCAACTTTATGACACACGCAAAGTGACCTTGCAATACCTTACAATTAGTGGGTCACAAAAGTCTATTTTAAAAGAAAGGCCTCTTGAATTACCCATTCTCTGTGTTTTCAGCATTAAGGACTGTCTGCAAAAGCGTGTCCAGAAGTGATTGCATCTGAAATGGCAGGCTCTTCTAATGTCGAGTCCAAATCCATAAGGCCAAAGGCTATCCCGAAGACCACCGCTCAGACCTCCCCGGGGCCGGCCGTGACCGGCCCGTTGACTGCTTCTCAGTGCACCTTGTCGGGGGGCCGGTCACGCTCCATTCCTATCTCACTGTGGCCCCTCCGACAGGAGACCCACAGGATCCCGTGTAATTGCTGCTTCGCTCCTCAGTAGGTTCAGACAGGAGAGTTCTGATCCCCGCCACTTAGCACGCTTCCTATGCCTCACAGACTCCCCGCAGCCGCCCCTTCCACAGAGCCGCCGGCAACGTCTGCGTGAGCTGGAGGCCCTCTTCCTTACAGTACTGCGTTCCGTGCCCGAGTGTGTTTAGGACTTGAAAACCCAAATTTCCCACCCCCACCCCAAACAAACAAAAACGAAAACAAAAAACAGAAAAGGGGAAAAAAAAGAAAAACAAAAAGGAAAAAACACCCTTATGGGGCCCTTTATGCAAATCTGTGCAGTGCCTTTTTATTTTAAAATTAGTTGGCAAATGACCAAGACCAACATCTGAACATTAAACTTTTGTGGAATAGACAAAAACCCCACTAGGACTGGGATGTGGCAAGTTAAAATGGGGGAGGCGGAAAGAGGACCTCTCTGAGCTATCCGTGAAGATGGGTGCGGACATGGCTCTTTTAAAAACTTCATTGTCCCTTTGCAATCTTTTCAAGTTAAAAAAAACAACACATCAGCTTTGCCTTCCTGTAGCGGTTCAGTGTGTTAATCTCCTTCTGATTCAAGCAGCTTTGCACTTTGTTTTTTGGAAAAAAAACACCACTTCTATAAAAACACACAAGAAACAAACTCAAGTTTCAATGTAGTCACGAGCTAGCTACAGGACTCTGTTGCACACAAACTCCTGTCATGGGGGACTCTTCTCTATCGGCCCCTTGCCTCATCGTCAGATGTCCTTCAGTCATGTAATGTGCGGGACCTGTGTTAGCGGAAAACTGGTATGTTGGATGTCCAGCTATGCCAGTCTCTTGGCGGGGATTGGAGTAGACGGTTAAATTAACGTCCATAGCTCCATTCTGTCCAAAGTCCAAGGTATTAGCAGCCACTGGGCGATTCTGGTAGGCCTGATTGCCTTGATTACCAGTAGAGGAGGAAGATGTAGAGGAAGAAGTAGTTGAGGAAGACAGGGATGTCATGGAGTGGTGACTATGGCCAACCTCCATAGAATCCTGGGTAGAGGAGCTATTCGTTGGAGAATTGTAGACCCTTGGCCTGGTCCGGTTACCCAAGGCTTGTTGTCCATGGTGGTGGTGGTGGTGGTGGTGGTGGTGGTGGTGATGGGAACTATTTCCATGGTGATGATGCAATGCATTAGGTTGAGAGGCTACATGAAAGGTTGTTTCTTGAACAGGATGAGTCTCGACAGTGACTTGTGTAGGAGCTTCAGTGCCTGACCAACCAAGGGGAGCAGGAAATTGCTGACGCACCTGTAAGAACAGATTTTAAAAGGATTTATAGAGTTCTATTTCAAAGTTTTATTCTCAATCAAAAGCTACAACACTAGCATTTACATTAACTAGAGAGGGGAAGATTTTGAAACTGATAATACGTTAGTTCTATAATGCAAAGTCCCAAACATGTTGAAGAGTACAAAATATGTTATTATTAAATGCTACAATTTTTAGCAAGTTATACACATAACTAGGTTTTGTATTTCACAGGCCACTTTCCTTCCCTGGAAGCACTGTTTATGCCAGGGGTCAGCGCCTTTTCTCTGACATGGGACAGCTCAGGAAGCATCTCACAGGTCCAACAGGAATTCTCCGCTTCCCCCCTGAAGCCCTCCTCTTCCCACCCTTCTGCTTCAATGTCAGCACTGCTCCCTACCCAGCTGGCCAGCCGTTCCTGCATCAAAACCTTCAGCAGCGCTGCTGGTGCTGCCTTCCGGCTGGTCCCCAAACCTGGACGCGTCCCCGTCCCCTGCCTACATTCACACAGCAGGCTCCTGTCAACTCCCAGCTGTACCTTTGCCTTTCACCAAACTACTCTCCTAAAAAAAATCAAAATAACCTTTTCTAAAACACAAATCCAAATTAGGCAAGGAAAAGATATAAAAGGCATTCAACTTGGAAAGAAAAATGCAGAACTGTCAATATTTTCAAATTATATACATAAAAAAATCCTTAGACATCAAAAGTTGTTAAACGAATTCAGTAAAAGATACAAAAAATCAATACACAAAAACGTGCATTTTTTTTTTTTTTTAAAAACGTGCATTTCTATAAACTAATAATAAGCTATCAGAGACATAAAGAAAACAATCATGCCCTGATTGGTGTGGCTCAGGGGCTTGGGTGTCATCCTGTAAGCCAGAGGGTCACAGGTTTGATTCCCAGTCAGGACACATGCCTGGGTTGTATGCCAGGTCCCCAGTTGGAGGTGTGTGAGAGGCAACCAATCAATGTTTCTCTTGCACATCAATTTTTCTCTTCTGTTCTCCCTTCCCCCTCTCTAAAAAAAATAAAATAAAATCTTAAAAAAAAATCGCATTTATCCTGGCTGGCATAGCTCAGTGGATTGAGCACAGGCCTGCGAACCAGAGTATCGCGGTTTGATTCCCAGTCAGGGCACATGCCTGGGCTGCAGTCCAGTTCCCAGCAGGGGATGCATGAGAGGCAACCATACATTGATATTTCTCTCCCTCTCTGCTTCCCTTCCCCTCTAAAGAGAAATAAATAAAATATATTTTTTTAAAAATCCCACTTATAACCACATCAAAAATAAAATACCTAGAAATTTTAACCAATGAGGTAAAAGCCTTTTATCCTTTTATATCGAAAACTACAAGATACTAATGAAAGAAACTGAAGATAAATAAATAGAATGATATTCGTGGAAATGGACTGGGAAGATCAACACTGTTAAAATATTAATACTACCTAAAACAATCTACAGATTCACTAAAATATCTATCAAAATTCCAATAGCATTTTTCAAAGAAATAGAACAAGTAATCCTAAAATTTGTATGGAACCCACAAAAAAGCCTAAATAGCCAAGCAAAACTAAGAAAAGAAGAACAAAGCTAGAAGCATCACGCTCCTTGACTTCAAATTATATTACAAAACAACAGTAATTAAAACAGTATGACAAAGGCAATAAAAACAGACTCACAGATCAACAGTATAGGAGAGAGCCCAGCTATAAACCCATGCATACACAATCAATCCATTTGTAAGACAAAATAGCCCAGAATATTCAATAAATGGTGTCGGGAAAACTGCAGACACACACACACACACACACACACACACACACACACACACACGAACTTCGACCACTCTCTGACACCATATGGAAAAATTAAGTAAAAATGGATCGCAGACTCAAACATAAGACCTAAGACCATAGAACTCCTAGAAGAAAACACAGGCAGAAGCTCCTCAGAAGCTCCTGGACAGAGGTCTTGGCAATAACTTATTGAATCTGACACCAAAGTATAAAAGGAACAAAAGCACACAAACAAGCGGGACTACATTGGACTGAAAAGCTTCTGTGCAGTGAAGGAAACCATCAACGAAACGAACAGGCGCGGCATACATAAAAAATGAGTGTTTACACACACAGTAAATAAATGAGTGTCACACATCACATATCAAGTAAGGGGTTAATAGTCAAAATACATTTTAAAAAACCTCATACAACTCAACAGAAAACAAACAAAATACCCACAACAATCCAATGAAAAAAAAAATGGGCAGAAGGTCTGATTCACATTTCTCCAAAGAAGGCACACAAAGGGCCAACAGGTACATGAAAAGATGTTCAACACCATTAATCATATTAATCACCAGGAAAATACAAGTCAAAACCACAATGAGGTATCACCTCATACCAGTCGGAACAGCTATTATTAAACGAACGAACAAACAAACAAACAAACAAACAAACAAAAACACAAGAGTTAGCAAGGGCGAAGAGGAAAGAGAACCCTCATTCGCTGTTGGAGAATGTGAACTGCTGTGGCCACTATGAAAACCAGTACGGCTCTGCAAGAAATTCAAAAGTAATCAACGCAGGTGGATGGAGAACCACAATTCAAAAACCACAACTGAAAACAATCCAGTAGAAAAAGAGGCAGGAAGTCCTCAGAAATTAGTACTGGTCTGTGGAGCTGTGCAGATTCATCCCTGAAAAGAAATATGCACAATAAAGCTGTATTCCATCCAATACCACTTTTCATCTTGAACTGACCCAAAGGCGAGCACAGTGACCGCCCCTCCAAAATGTCAGTGGAGGACGAGACTGGAGGAGGAGAGGCTGCCCACACAGGAGCCAGAGGCTGAGCAAAGTGCAACGTCCTGGTGAAGGCAGGAGGACAGGGCAGGGCACCCAAGGGGACTGGCCTCCAGCAGGACGGAACCTCTGCCTCGTGTGGAAAAGGGCAGGACAGAAGTACACAAGCTCACACGGAGGCCAAGAGAGTTGCTCCTACTGGAAGACTTCCTTACACAGGAAAGAGTGATCGAGAACAGAGAAGGGGCGGGGGCCAGAGGTTTCTGACAAAAGTATGCGGGAGAAGCAGTGGGAGAGATGCGATGACCTGAGCAGCATGGGTGACTGCCCCAGAGACATGGGTGGATGTCACTTTACAGTGGCAGCAGCCCATCGGGTGTGTGTGGTCTCCCCCATGGCTTTCGGGAGCCCCAGTTACGAGAATGGGGATGAAAGTCAGCAGCCTCAGTTTTACTTCACTCAAATGACCTCTCACTAGAAGTACCCTAGAAACAATGCTCTGTGGGACCCGATGAGATCCTCTTCTTTCACAGGGTTAAAAAAGGAAAAAAAGAAAAAACCTGCAAAGCCCTCCCGAAACACCACGGAGTTAAAAACCAAACCACAAACTGACTTGGAAGCTAGGACTACAGGCGCTGAAAGAGCACGGGGGTGGGGGTGGGGGTGGGGGGTGGTGTGTGTGTGTGTGTGTGTGTGTGTGTGCGCGCGCGTGCGTGTGCGTGCGTGCGTGCGCGCGCAGTCCGGAACAGGCAGACCCAGGGAAACTTACTAACCCAGACTCAGCTCCCCACACGAGAATCCAAACAGCGTGAGGCCGACTATGTTGCCGTGGTCCCTGAGATAAGTGTGGGGACGGGGCGGACATCGCACACCGGCAGTGATGGTCGGTCTGCACCCGACAAATGCTAACTCTTTCTGGACAAGGCTGTGGTTTCTCAATTGTAAATCATAATTCTTTACAAAGGAGGACGCCATGAACCTTTACATTCCATGACAATTGTTCCCCAGACACTCAGCCCCCAACACCGCTCACCCGGAGCCTGGCGAGGGCCATCAGCCAGCGGGGAGAGGGCTCACCTGGGGACTGTGGGTCTCGCAGTCCATGGCCTGGACGGCGGCTGAGAAGTGCCCGCCGCTGTGCCGGTGCTGGTGCGTCGGGTCCGACCGGGCTCTCCCACTGTTGCTCGTCCCCGACGATCCTCCTGCAGTGTCACAACACCAAACAGCTCGTGAGTTTAGTCAGTTCTGTTCAAGTCTAGCAGCTTAAAACTGAAAGGTTAAAACTGGAAGTGTGACAGTAACAAAAACAATCTGTATTAAGAGAAAGTCACCTGACTGCCTGATTAAGTTTTTCACATGAACTGCTATCAATTTGGTTTTATCAGTGGAAAACTCAAGTTATGTGGACAAAGTATTTCCATTTTAAAAAACAATTTAAAAATTTGGTTAATAAAGAGTTTTGTTTCCAGCTATCCAGCAGAATTTATGACATGTATAATTTCACACTGAAGCTTTGGGGAAGGTGGAGTTTTTATTAACTACAAAGACCAGGTTTAGGTAAAATAATCCCTCGTCACCCCATTAACACATTTTTAAAAACACTGTACAATGACCCCCACTCCGTACAGCAAACAGCCATCGCTGGAGGCCTCGCCTGCGCCCGAGGACAGACCTGAGCTGGACGAAGTGCTGGAGGTGGTGCCCGAGGACTGCGACTGCTCCATCGCGGGACTTGTGGACACGCTGTTACTCGTGTTTGTACCTTCATCAGCTGTTTTCTTGAAAAAACTGTGCTGCAGGGCATAGTAAGGTTGAATTCGAGTTTTGGGGTCATAGTCAAGCATCCTTAAAATGAGGTCTTTGAACTTCAAGTAGTCTGCTACGGTATGACCCGATTCCCCTGCACGACGCCCACCAGGTCCTCCTGTCTCCACTCCAAGAATATTATGAAGTTTACGGGTTCCTGGTGGTTTATACTCCTAAAGAGAAGAGAGAGAAAAAGGCTTTCTCTAAATTTGGTGGGCTATGTAGAAGGCTACATAACTTCAGATATACTATATTACATGTTGAGGCCTTTATAAAACAGAACGCTTTATAGTTAGACCCTCTAATGTGTTTTCACACATTACTATTCCAAATACACTACAGTTAGAAAAATTCAAATTAATCTTGAGGCCAGAATTTACTGTAAAGACCACCTAGTCCTGGGTTCAGCAAACTGTGATGGTCCCAGGGCCTGATTCTGTATGGTTTTTATACTTTTAAAGGTTGTAAGACAAACAAGCAAAACCTAGTAAGGACACGCAGTAGAAGTCCACCAAGCCTAACCCCACTCTCTGGTCCCTTATGACGAGGCGAGCCGACTGCTCCAGCCCAGTGCCTCTGAACCCCCTCTCTCCGACGCACCTGGCAACATGGGAGAGCTTCCTGCAGTGATGGCCGCTTTAGCTGTAGTGATCACACCAAGTGCGCTCTAAGTAAAGAATCATGGCCTAACCTTGCCTGCTCATGTTTAAGTAAAGAAATTAAAAGAAAATTTTATTTATGCCTCCCTTTACAATATGTTCAACAATAAATTACCTTAACATGTGTTGAGATTTTCTGGAAGCTCACTTTTAAATATATAATAGTATAACCCTTAACAGCCCCATGAATATTGAATTCACTAAAAATAGAATCACTGAATTTTTGTTTTTAGTTACAATGTACAAATCTGCAAAAGACCACTGGTCTCACTGTAAAAGTAAGAACAAGCCTGGTAAGTAAGGCACAAAAATCATTCCTTTAAAAAAATCCATCAGATGGTTGAGGAAGAAAGAAGCCAGAATTAAGTACATTCTAGAATATGAAAAGCTTTTCCTCGAGGAGCCTTTCCTTCTGATGGTAGGGGAAGGAGCAACTGCTATAGATCTGGGTAAGGAGAATCCAGCATGGCTCTGGACTGACTTCTAACAGCTGCATTTGGACAGGCCCGCGGATGGGGAGAGACAGAGAAACCCACACAGCGGCCCCCAGGGCACTGTACGTCTCGGGTTAGAGCAGCGGGACGAACAGACACCGGAGCACAAAGCAGGAATGGGCTGCTGGCTGGGAGACAGGTAACATGTAGGAACTGTTCTGTCTCCTCGGGAATGCTCCGAACCCCCAAGGGCAGTGCAGACCATAGCCTAAGTCAAACACACAAAGTCCTGACTTCCCTAAACTGTAAACAGGACTGAGTCGTCCCCCACAAGTGACCCAACAGAGTGAGAGGTATGCCTCTTCTTGAAGAGAAGATTTGCTTCTACCAACAAGAAAGTTCGGCATCCCTTAGAAAAAATTACAAACACAAGAAACAACAAAAAAGGGTCCACAATGAAGTGAAAAAAAAAAAACTGAAGAGCCACACAACTGGTGCCCCAGATGTTGAAAATGGCAGACAGGCATTTTAAAACAAGTGCGATAAAAAGGTTAAAGAATTTAGTTCAAAGGGTTGACAGCATGTGTGATGAGTCAGGGGAAATACTAAAGCAAAAAAAATGCAGTATCAGAAAAGAAGAGTCTATTTAATGGTTTTAATAGATGACTGGACTCAGCAGAAGAAAAAAAAGTCATTGAACTAGACGACAGAGCAAAGAAATGATCTAAACTAAGACCAAAACCAAACCAAAACAAAAAAACCCCCACAAACCAATAAATAACCAAACACCCAATAAATAACCAACCAGAGACCTTGGAGATGGTGTTAAACACTACAACATACACATATTTGGGGGGTTCTTAGAAAGAAAGATGCTGAAGCGGAACAAATGTTTACAAAGATAGCATTTGAGGATTTTTAAAGACTGATAAAAGAGATCAAGCAAAAGACCCAAGAAACTTACCAAACCCCAGTTTTTGTGAAATATCAAAGATCACTGGGAAGAAAGGATATCTGCCTGAACAGGCTTTAAAGGCGGACAAAAGTGCCCTATCCTGAAAAAAAGACACCACGAAGGCCATGTATTAATAAGAACGAGAAGAGAATTTATGGACGAAGGGCTAGTCTAGTTCTGTTTTGTGGAAATGCAGTCGGGTTTACGCTGCGCACTGCCTCCCTCTATAAAGCTTACCCCCCGGGCCTCGAAGGGAAGATGAACACCAGCTGCCAGGCTTGTGGTTATAATACAAGGAGGCATGACCAATAGGAAAGAGCCCCTTCTCTGGACTGGTTCCACTGAAGCTCTGGCCCTGAAGTCAGGAAGTCCCTATACAATAAGGGACTGCCTTCTAAAGTTCCTCTGATATTGGACAACGCCCCCAGCTACCCAGAACCCAAGAGCTCATCAGCGGAAGTGTCACAGTGGTCTACCTGCTCCCAAACACAACTTTAAACTCAGACTCTACACCAGAAAAGCCATACGGACCTCTGAGGCTCATCACACACGGCACTCCATGGACAGGATCATCAACGCCACCGAAGAGAACCCCAACAGAAAGAACACCGCGGAAGGAGGGAAGGACTGCAGCACTGAAGATGCGGTTGTTATTACGGAAAAGGCTGCGAAAACCACCAAGCCCAAAACAACCAATTCATGTCCCGGTATTTGTGTATGACTTCATACAGCCGATCAAAAAACGCACAAAAGAAATCGTGGATATGACAAAAGGGGGGAGGGTGGTGGAGGAAGGGTTTCAAGACAGAGATCTTGGAAAAGTCAAGAGCTAGCAGATCGCATCAGAGAAATTAATTAACAGACAACGACGTGATGGAGACGAGTGCTTTTGAACCAGTGAGGAAGAGGAGGCAGTGTCAGGGGAAAAACTGACATTAGATGATGTGGTGGAAGAGTTCTGAATATTCAAGACTGCTTTTGACTACTTTTATGGCAGGAACTCTTCCATGATATAGAAAATTTTTTTAAAAATAAAATGAAACAAAAAAGTCAACCGGAAGTTCCAACGTACTTCCATGAAGTTACACCAAGCGTTCCCACCCTGCTCCACCTCCTCCATCTCTGCCACTGGAGACGGTGACACGGGTCTAACCAGCAAGAAGGCCTTTGCCACCATCCACTTCCACTTAAAGAACAGTGAATAACTGTCATGCCATACAGTTAGTAAGCTGATCTGGTGTGTACGTGTCTCCATGTGAAAATCTAATCAATCTAGGGCATGATCTGCAGATGTGCCCCCCCCCCCCCGCCATCGCTGGCATCACTGCCGAGTATCCATAGCAGAGAGCACCACGTGCAAGACTGGCCTGGAATCGGATTAACACTCATAAAGTACCTTCTTACTGTTTTGTAACTATTTCTTCAAAAAATGGTGCTACTTTATGGTACACCTCTCTGTATCTCTCTCACTTTCTCTCTTGTAATTGGAGAAACTACGTATCAGCTTATCATCACAGACAACTGCTTTTTAAAAAATATAACAAAGTTTCCCATACTGTTTTATAAAATGACCCTGATACTGTATGACAAACACTTTATGACAGTTCATTCATTTGCATGTAGGCTAGGCTTCCCTGAAGATACCATATCCCTGCTTCTTCATTATCAATGCATGAAGTGTTATACCTGTAAAGTATGAATCTGTCTTTTCATTTTCAATGTCTAGTGTTAATAATACTGCATAACATTTACAGTGTTTTGTAACATATAAAACTATTGATATAGGTACTACCAAACAATTCATCTTATAAATAGATGTTAACTTCCAATATTGATAAATACAATACAGTACTATAAATGTATTTTCTCTTCCTTATAATCTTTGTAACATTTCATTTTCTCTAGCTTACTGTATTATAAAAATACAGTAAGACTTCCAATAAACAGTAAGCTATTAGTAAAGTTTACTGTTTACGGGGAAGTCAAAAGTTACTCGCAGATTTTTGACTGCATGGCAGGGTCAACACCCCTAACCCCTGTGTTGTTCAAGGCTCAACTGCACTTGAATTTGAGAATTACCACGAAGCTATAATCAGCACTGTAGTAATAATGGTTTAAGAACAGACAGACCAACAGAACACAACAGAATCCAAATATAGACCAGCACATACAAGATGGCTTTGTTTGGGACAATCATGCAATGTCAGGTGAAGGTAATAGGGGAAGAAAACTGTTCTCAACAAATGATGCTGCCACTAGGTAAACATTTGGGGGGAAAACTTCAACTCCTACTCCTCATTTCACACTAAAACATTGATTCAAAATGGACCACAGAGCTCTAACCATGAAAATTCAATCAGAAAAACTTAGAAAGTATCAGAGAATACCTTCACAAACTTGAGGAAGGCAAATAACTCTTTTTCAAAAAATATGTTATTGATTATGCTATTATAGTTGTCCCATTTCCCTTCATTCTCCTCCACCCTGCACATCCCCTCCCACCCACATTTGCCCGCTTTAGTTCATGTCTACGTGTCATAAGTTCTTTAGCTTCTACATTTCCCATACTATTCTTGCCCTCCCCCTATTTTCTTTTCTTTCTTTTTTTTAAGGGGGTCATGAATTAGTAAGGAAGACAGACATTACAAGTTAGAGTGAAATGAGGATTAATGTTAAAGAGATAAGTAGAATCATAGATCTCTTAAGTATATATCTCTGGCAAGTAGCTTAGAGTATATTGCTTTTTAAAGATTTCTTTTACTTATTTATCTTTAGAGGAGAAGGGAAGGAGAAAAATAGAGAAACATCAATGTATGGATGCCTCTCGTGGGTCCTCTGCTGGAAACTGGCCTGCAACCCAGGCATGTGCCCGGGCTGGGAATTGAACAGCGATCCTTTAGTTCGCAGGCCAGTGCTCAATCCACTGAGCTACACCAGCCAGGGCCCCCTGTCTATTTTCTCCCTACAATCTATGCTATTTATTCTCTGTACCTTTTGCCCCTCTTTCCTCCTCCCACTCCCCTGTTGCTAACCCTCCATGTGATCTCCATTTCTATGATTCTGTTCCTGTCATAGTTGTTTCCTTAGTTTGTTTTAGTTTTAGGTGTGGTTAATAATTGTGAGTTTGCTGTCCTTTTATTATACATGTTTATCTTTTTTTTCTTAGATAAGTCCCTTTAACATTTCACAAAATAAGGGCTTGGTGATGATGAACTCCTTTAACTTGACCTTATCTGAGAAGCACTTTATCTGCCCTTCCATTCTAAATGAAAGCTTTGCTGGCTAGAGCAATCTTGGATGTAGGTCCTTCCCTTTCATGACTCGGAATACTTCTTTTTAGCTCCTTCTTGCCTGGAAGCTCTCTTTTGAGAAATCAGCTCACAGTCTGATGGGAACTCCTTTGTAGCTGCCTCCTTATCTCTTGCTGCTTCTAGGATTTTCTCCTTCATTTTAATCTTGGGTAATGTAATTATGATGTGCCTTGGTGTATTTCTTCTTGGGTCCAACTTCTTTGGGACTCTCTGAGCTTCCTGGACTTCCTGGAAGTCTATTTCCTTTGCCAGATTGGGGAAGTTCTCCCTTGCCAGAATGGGGAAGTTCAAATAACTTTTCCACTTGTTGCTCTTCCTCTTCCCCTTCTGGTACCCCTATAATTCAGATGTTGGAACGTTTAAACATGTCCTGGAGGTTCCTAAGCCTCTCCTCATTTTTTTGAATTCTTGTTTCTTCATTCTTTTCTGTTTGGTTGTTTCTTTCTTTCCTATGGCCCACTCCATTGATTTGAGTCCCAGTTTCCTTCCCATCACTATTGGTTCCCTGTGCATTTTCCTTCATTTCACCTTAGCGTAGCCTTCATTTTTTCATCTAATTTGTGACCAAATTCAACCAATTCTGTGGGCATCCTGATCACCAGTGCTTTGAACTGTGCATATGATAGGTTGGTTATATCTTTGTCGTTTAGTTGTATCTGATGCGGAGCTTCTTCTGTTTGGGCCAATTTTTAAAAATTTTGTTTTGTTATGCCTATTATCTATGAAGGGTGGAGCCTTAGGTGTTCACCAGGGCGAGGGAACCCAGTTGATGGGTTGTGAGGCTGGATGTGGGGGCAGGGTTCGAGAGGGAACCATGGTACTTCCTCCACTCTCTGTTGGACCTCAGTCCCTTCACCACTTCCCCTATGCAAACTGGGCCCTTCTGGTACTGATTCCCATGTGGGTGGGCTTGTGTACATTCTAGGACCCTGTGTGTCTCTCCAATGAACTCTCTTGTGAGGCTAGGAGTCTCACCTGTGCCTCAACCCCCACAGGTGTTTTCAATTGGTGTTTTGAGGCTTTATTTCCCGGCTCTGGAACCCTCGGTTGCACAGTCTGTCTCACTCCCCAATTTCGCCTGGTTTATCTGTGCGTAAATGTGGGACCGCCTGGCCAGCCAGCCGCCTTGTGCGCAGTGCCTTGCTTCACGATCACCACCTTGCTGGGTCTGCCAGCCACCCTCTGGGAGCCCAGGGTCCGTCCGCTGCCATCTTGTGCACCCGGGGTGCCTTGCATGCCTGGTGCCACCGCTCTTTGTGCCACAACCCCTCTCCGCTTGGCTGCCCAACTCTGCCCCGCCTATTGGTCTGGATGAATGTGTCTATTTTACCTCCTTGGTTGTCCGACTTCCATACAGTTTAATTTTCTGTCAGTTCTGGTTGTTACTTTGTTTCTAAATTGTTGTCGTCCTTATTTTGGTTGTAGGAGGAGGCACAGTGTAGCTACCTATGCCTCCATGTTGGCCAGAAGTCTCCAAATATTTCTTAAAATACAAAAAATACTATTCATAAAAAAGTTGGCAAATTTAATTCCATCAATATTAACATTTCCTGCTGATCAAAAGATAATCACTAAAAAAATAGGCAAGCTACTTTCCGGGAAAAAACAGACACATATATGACAAAGGACTTATATCGAGTATGTATAAAGAACTCCTACAACTCAAAAATTAAAGAAGCCAATAGCAAAAGGGATAAACAACAGAAAGATTGCCACAAAAGAAGAGAGACGTTAATGGCTAGAAAGCACACGAAAACGTGGTCAGTATCATCAGCCATGGGGAAATGCAAATGAAAACCAGTCTACACCCATCAGAATGGCTAAAATCCAAAAGATCAAACATATTAAACAGTGAGGACATCATGCAACTGGAACCCTCACTCACTGTGGGATGTAAAATGATAAAACTCTCCAGAGTACTGTTTAGTATTTTCTTACAAAGGTAAAAACACATGTACCCTATAACCTGATAATAATTCTACTTTTAGGTAGTGACACTACAGAAATGAAAACCTGTAAATACAAGAGAGTAATACATGAATATTCCCAGTAGCCTTATTTGTAACATCCCAAACTGGAAACAAACCAAACATCCATCAACAAATGAATATAGGTAAGTTATGGTATTTTCATTCAATGAAATACAATGAAGCAATAAAATGAAGTACCTCCTGAGACACACAACAATATGAATGAAACTCCAAAAACAATATTTGCAAAGTCAAAGAAAAAAATAATAAATACTACAGAGTTCCAGTTATACGAATATTTTCTATGTATAGGCAAAACTAGCCTATGATGACAGAACTCGTAACGCGGGGCTGGGATGACAGAATCAGGGTGGTAGAAATACAGGGGCAGGCCAAAGCAGGTTTATAGTTGTTCATATGGAAAAATACATGCAGGTCATCGTTATTATAATACTTTTATTAACTGAAAAGAATGTCACAATGCAACTGTAAACCTACTTGGGCCCACCCCTGTGTATCTTGTGATAGTTTTATACAGTGTAAATAAAGATCAAAACTCAACAAACACAACACTGTAAATACACCTACCAAGTTGAGTATAAATTATACTTTAATTAAAACAGCATCATTTATAATCTTAATTCTTCATCCCCGTTCCTCACGGAAGAAAAAACATATATATAGTGGATACGGATTTCAAGCCTCAGAAGTTAAAATGGACTCGAATCATAAAATGAGACACTGAAATTAAAAACAAAGCCACTAAGAAAACCAACTGCAGAGACGCCTAACGGCAGCACATGCGCATCTAGTCAGGCTCACGGTCACAACCCCTGAGGCGGCCTTCACAGTGTGGCCCTTTGGCTACAGATTTGTGATTAAAGAGGGTTTACCCCCTTTATTTTACAAAATTTATTTCTGTTTAAAGAGAAATAGTTATTTCATACGTTAAAAATTAAGCTTCTTAAATCAGTTGCTAATTGTGGCTACAGAAAATCTTATAAAAATCTAGTTAATTATAGGTTAAGATACTTTTAATTTAGGAAGGAACATGATTTATGTACTTTTATGAAATGACCCCCACCTCCAGAAATAATTAAAAATAATAATGATTATAGCTCAAATTGGGAAAAATGACAGGTTATAACCTATAGTGACTTAACTGTGGTTTTATAAGGTAGAGAGATTTGGGAAATGGGATGAACATTTTATTTAGAAAAAGAATGAAAATAGCGTAAGAAAAAGACTATCTCAAAATGGAGGAAGCAGCAGTAGCAGCCTGTACTGCAGAGAGATAAAACATAAAGCATGTTTCACATCCTCCATGCTAATTCCGATCAACTGGCAGGAGCTACCTTGAATGCAGTTAAGCTAAGCAGGAGTCCCAGGCTTTGTTTTGGTTCAGTGGGAAAATGGGGCCCTAACTGATTAAACTATGTGAACAAAGGCCAAAGGGCCCAGATGTCTGTGTGGTATTCTCCATCCCTTCCTTATGGGGAGGTAGACATAACTTAACTGCCGGATATTGCACTGCCTGAAACTTTAGAGAATGAGGCAGAATGCAGTAAGTTACTAATCACTTGTGAAACATATAATTACATCTATATTCTTAAATATTCTAAAGAAAACCACTTGATATTGAAAGTGAAGAGTCCTTAGCTACATGAAGGTGAATTAAAACCAACAACAAAGATCCCCTGGAAAGGAACCACACGTGGCGGCAGTGTCGCTAAAACGCAGGGGCAAAGCAAAGGCTCTGGAGCAAAGACAGAATCTCTTACATGTTAAAACTGCAAAACTACGGTCACAGGTGCCTGTTAGACACATCATATACAACTGCATTTATAAATTATATTCATTTTGTATTAAGGCTAGATTACAAAATGCATGATTATTTTCTGATATCCAACACAGAAAGTGAAATCCAGATGCACCACTGCCATCACTGTATTAAACTTACATTGTTCAGGTATCTGAAAAGAGTTGTCATATGGAAGAAAATCACTAAACAACCCTAATGTGTTAAAGCCTCCCTTCTAAAGATTTCAGAGATGGGCCATCCTTGCTATCCATGTCATCAGGCTAGGAATGTAAAATCAAAGAACAATCTAGTCAGTTCATATTCTTGTCACATACTGCTTAAGTCAAAAGCCTTTTTCTTCTACCTGAACCTGGAAAAAAAAGCCATTCACTGCAGTTATGGTTTCTACTGTCCACAGCTGCAGTACTGTTGACTGTGGGTTCACCACACAACCAAGTTGTGAGAAACGGAGGTTGAACTTACCGGTCCTGCGGCTGCACTGAGGCGTGGTGATTTGGTCAGCTATCTCCCAAGGCAGACAGAGTTGTTACAATGAAGCCTTAGAGAGAACTCTGACCATTAAGCAAACATTGGACTGTACACATAGTCCATTCAAACTACATCCAGCTTGTGAAGAAAATATATACCTAAGTGACTCTAATTACAAAGCCTCAAAAAAAAAAAGTTTCCTTATTTTACCCGTTTTCCATCTTTGGTCTTCTTTAAGTTCCAAGTGCCATCTGGCAACTTCTCAAAGAACTTTCTTGCTTTTGGTGCTTGGTCAAGAATATGAGCAGGTGGAATACCCAGAACTTCCACTATTTTATTCATCTGATCTACCTGTATTAAGAACAAAAACAAAACAAAAGAGCCTGTAATTTCTCGTTAACTTTGGCTTCTGCTCAACTCGATGTGCATTCATCAATGGTGAGTGAGTACACGGGCGTCCCCATGTGCCAGGCACCCTTCTAGGCGGTGAGTGTGCCACGATTAACAGAAGAAAGTTGAGGTCCTCCTGAGAGCCTGCCGGGACACCCCTGTGGTATATCAGGTGGTCATGGATACAAAGAAGAAAAAAACTAGAGGTAATTTTTAAAAGTTTAAGTTTTTAGAAAGTCTTAGATAAATAACCATTAAAAAAAACACCCGAACTGTACTTGGACAATAATTAATATAAAAAACAACAAGAACAGAACAGAAACAAAACAAAAAAATAAATCCCAGGGGCTTAATAAGGTGTGGCTCTAATAAACCATTTTTTAAGTGCAGATTCATTCAAATACCCAGTATCTACTATATGCCAGAAACCATGCTCAGTAGAATACAGTAGTAAACAAAATGAACAAACTCCACAGCAGGAAGTTTATGGGGAGATCACCAATAAACGACATAAATACATTATGTTAGATGGCAGCTAAGAACTCTGGAGAAAATGAAAAGGGGACAAGGAGTGAGAAAGGGCGCTACCATTCACAGTAAGGTGTACAGAAGGCGTCGCCAAGACAGGGACGCGAGAGCAAGGACGGAAGGCAGTGAAGGAAGGAGCCCAGTGCTCTTCGGGGAAAAGCACTTTAGGGAAAACAAATGCCAAGGCCTGGCACAGGCCTGCGCCTGCTGTTTGTTTCCAAGGGACTAGACAAGGCTGTGTGCTGGGTCAGAAAAAGTGAGGAGACACGAGGAGGCAAGTGGGTGAGAGAGGACAGAGTCAGAGGAGGGAGGGGGTCGTCAATCTACTCAGAGGACTCAGCATCTACAGAGAGCGAGATGGAGGCCACCGAAGTTCTGGGTGATCCTAATGTTTAAGCCATGACGAGGCACTAATTACAGTAATATCATTTACAGTACAACAGAAATGAACTCACACTACGGCAGCTACTGCCAAACAGCAGCTCCGCCTGTTAACAGTTGTAGAACCCAGAAGTCACTAAATTTCATTGGTCTTTCTTTTCACGTTTATAAACCAATGGACTGATCAAGATCTCCAATGGTTAACTTTTCTCTAAAAATGAAGAAAGCACACAAGTGAGGTGTTTTTTTTTAAGATAGATTTTAATTTAGATAAAAATTTAGAAAATTTTTTTTAGTCCTCACCCAAGGATATATTCACTGATTTCAGAAGGAGGAGAAAGAAAAGAGAGAAACAGAGAGACAGAAAGAAATGTCAACTGGCTGCCTCCTGCCCGACCGACCCCCTCCACGGCCCCGAATCAAACCTGCAACCTTTCGGTACATGCAAGGACACTCCCGCCAACTGAGCCACCCAGCCAGAGCCAGATTTTATTTTTAATTAAATTTACTGGAGTGGCATTGGTTAGTGAGATTATACAAATTGAATGTACACTCTTATGATACATGATCTGTATACTGCACTGTGCGCACCCACAGTCAAATGATCTTCCATGTATTTGACCCACTTTACCCTTTATTACCACACAGGTGAACACTGTTAAAGCCAACCAAAGCCAATTCAACTCATGTGACTGTGAGGGAGTGTGGCCTCTCCCTGCCCTGCCGGGGACGAGAAGAGTGATACGCAGCCTGTAGCTCTAAAATGCTGCAACCGATCTGCCCTACGTTACCCGCAGGCCCGATGGTGAGCACTCCTCTCACTCCAAAGCACACCCGAGATGCAAGGCGCACTCACACTGCCGTCAGGTGGCCCCACTCCTCCACTGCGTCTTTTTCTGGTATTATGCTTAAAGTTTGTAAAATCCTCACCCAAGTATTTAATGTTTTATCTGTTTTATTAATCTCCTTTATTAGCAGATTTGAAGATCTCACACCCACCTGACCATTACATGGTAAGTGAAAAAGATGAGTAACATAAATTCAGAACTACCCCGACGCTGCAATGACTACGTCGGTAAGCAGACGTCGTGTCCTGCAGACAGCTCTCAGGTTGTGCTGTCCCGGATCGGAAGCACAACTGTGGCAGCAGGGACAGGACAGAGAGCCAGGACAGAGAGCCCGCCACGTACCTCATTGGCGCCACTGAACAGAGGTTCTCCAGTGTGCATTTCAACCAAAATACACCCAAGGGACCACATGTCGATAGCAAGGTCGTAAGGCATTCCCAGTAGCACCTCTGGAGACCGGTAAAAGCGACTCTGAATATACTGGTATATCTGAAATATATTTCAAACTAGTATTAATTCCAAAATAAGTTTTGTTTATTGTAGTCTACACTAGGTTAAGAACACTAATCTAATGTTAACAAAATAGTAACAACAAAAACAATAATAGATTACTTCGTAAATTAGGGTTTCTTTTACTGATTTCAATAATAGACTACAAATATTGTTTAAAGAACTAAAAATGTCCAAGGAGTGGTTAATCTGCCTGTGAAATGCAAAATGTATAAAACTAAATAAAGTCTTCTCATTTAGTCCAGTCCTAACTAGTAATCAAGATGCATCTTAAAACAAGCATGCCTTATTATAAGAAGATATTGAGAATAATTTATTTCTCTATTAATTATGTTGTTGCTATTGCTGGCACTAGGGTTTACCGTTAACAGCTAAACTGTATTTATAAGATTAACCTTCTTTAGGGTAACTTAGGTTGGAATGTATTTCCGCAGTAAGAGTCAAACAAACTGAGCACCATGTAAAGGAAAACCCGGTCATCGGCACTGCACTAGTGCCACAGGTTAACCCTAGAAACATTGCCATGTACAGATGCAACAGAAGTTGTTTCTGGTTAATCAGTCCCATCTCTGTTCTGTCCCCTTCTCACCTCAATCTAAGACTTCTTAGAAAAGAAAATACTGCAATGGGTTCTTTTCAATGAGGTAATCTGAAACTGTCTTGAGAGACCAATTCATTTTCATTTAGCCATTATAAATTTATATCTAGAAATACTGGCAAAGACTTATTTTTTAAAAACCAACTAAGAAATAAAATCCTCCTAACTAAACTTTCTAAGTGAACACTCAGACCAGGCAGCCAGGAACGTGGCTCCCCCCTCCGTCTCCAGCCAAGTTTCCAAGAGTAATCTCTTGCTTCTTGGGCAAGTAAACCCCATCTTACAGTATTCTCAGAAAAGAAAGTCTAATTCAAAGGGACCAGGAAGAAGGGTTACATTTCCCAGTGTTTATAAACTAACATCACTGCTGAGTCCCAAAGACTCCGCTACTGAGATGATCTTATGTCCCACCTAAATGCAAGTCAGTCTGTCACCTTCACACGTAGTTTGGTTACGGTGGCAACAGGGTCATCTAAAAGGCTGCGCACCAGAATCTCTGAATGCTCTGTGAAATTCACCTGCCCTGCCACCTTCTGATGCTGAACCAAGAGACCTAGGGCACAGCCAGTGCATGTGTATTTTGGAAATGATTTCCCACGTGGTTACAAGTCACTGAGCTAAAGGGACAGTTGTCTCTGTTTGGCTGGCGAGAGACTGTGTTGGATATTATGACAGAACTTGGTTCAAATAGAGAAAATGTTTTCCCAAGTGTAGAACCTAGTCAAGTAACTCTAGGAAGAGTGTGTGTTTTCCAGTCAATACACACGCCACCCCGCATAAACAGCTCTGAGCATCTCCTGACTTTCAAAGGCATCCGAAACAGCAAACTTTCCATCCCACACCTTCAATTTTGAAAATTATTTCAATTATCTATATAGCACTGCTGCCATAAAATTTGCAGAAAATAAAAAAATAACAAAAAGCCAGACAATCCTGTGAGCTGGCTACAAACCCCCCAGATTAAATTGATCTGCTGTATTTGAAGCCCAGAAAAGCACTGACCCAGACAGGACATCTTACTAATTTGCAAAAACAGAAAATGGAGAGGCAGTATAAAATACTAATACATGTAAGTTATTGTGCTTTTCCTTCTTTTAAAAAATAATGCAGTCTCAATACTTTCAAGCAAAAAGGAACGGTGTTTAACACAGTAAAATATTATTCAAATGGTGATCCTACATCTTCCCAAGAAGAGAACAACCTCTAACTTCTAGTTTAGACCTAAAACACTGTTCAGGAAAATGTGAGAAATAATGCTACAAAAAAATAAATATTAGAAAAAACTTCCTTTCCTAAGTCACCTAAACCTAAATTTATGTTTTGCTATAGCCATGTCTATTTTTAGCAATCTGCAGAAAACCAGTTGGGACAAGCTTCAGAATTTATATAAGAAAAATATTTTAATTTATTTATCAGAACAAGTATGTCTACCAACTATGCAATTTCTGTATTATATTCCCATGTGGAATACCAAGTTATCTATATTTTTTAACCCATTAGTTTTATTTAGGAAAATATTTCTCTTGCTCTATCATTAGGGAAGTATTTTACAGCAGTGATTGAATGTTCTAGCATTAGAATTTCCCCAGATTTACACTACAACCTCTATCTGAAAAATACAGGTCATTTTTTCTACAAGGTGCTACAAGTCACCTAACATTTAACTCACTCACCACCTACTGTCTCAGTCTATTAGCATACAGTAATATTTAAAATCCACTTTGAAAAACCAGTACCTTCCAATTTAAAGTATTACTAGTCACATTTTAAAAGGCATTTCCACAAAACAGGTATCAACACAAGTTAATTCAAGTGCTACCTTTTCAAGACAGCCATTCTGTAATTGCATCCATACTGTATACACATTAATAACACTTCCCATAGCTTCCGACACGATTTTACCTAATTCTAGTTAATTCACAACTCCTGAAGCATACTTACCCGCTGCCCCAACTGACAAGAACTGCCAAAGTCAACAATCTTGATTGCACTGCGTTTGGGGTTACAGAGAAGGATATTCTCGGGTTTTAGATCACAGTGAATGATGCTAAGTTCTGGAGTCGCAAGGAAAAGCAGTGCAGTGCACATCTGCTGTGCAAACTTTCGTGTTAGGTTCAAAGAGACCCCTCGAAAATTGGTGTTCCTCAGTAGGTCATAGAGGTTGTAGGACAGCATTTCAAAAACTAAACAGAGATGGTTTCGAAACATAAAGTGGCGTTTCAAATGCACTGAAAGAGAAAAGAGTTTCATTTAAAATTATACATGAACCAATAAAATGAAGGTATGTGTGACCTCTCAAAATTCTGTAACATTACTATGTCAAATGCAGAGTGAAATCGTGTTAGAATTTGGAGATCCACATCCTGCACATTCTTGAATCAAGAGTATCTAAATTGTTCGTCTGCTTTATTAGACAGCTGCAATGTCTGCCAATAAGAAATATAATGTAAGAAGTACCACCAAAATGTCTTGTGTTTAAAGACTTAGGTCAGGTCTAAAAACCTGAGTAGCAACCCGACAGACAGTCCTTGGAATAGAGTACTCCAGTACCTTTTCCCTCACGGGTGGGACAGGCACCTTTTACCTGCTCACAGCCCTGCCTCCGACTCTCACGTGCCAGAGCTCCACCCCAGGACCTGGCCTGCGACAGCGCAGCCCTCTCCAGGGAAGGCTCTGACACAGACACACACCTGCTCTGCTGTGCCTTAGATTTCACTAGCAATTTCCTGTAACAACTGCCAGAGAAAGATACAGATTTTTTTCTCTTTTAGGCAAATATAGCAAATGTTTGAAAATCAGGCTTTGGAAGGTACAAAGTTCATAATCAAAGCATTAGATCATCAAACCAGTATATGGGACATCTTGTGTTAACACTGAAGGTTTGGGAACACTTCAAAATACAGCTCAATTGCAGGAAGAAATTATAAGTATGCTTATGAATAGGGAAAGAGAACACATTACTTGCTATCACTGTTGACTCTCTATAAAGGCTTAATACTTGCTCGACTGCTTCAAAGAATGTGCTTTAAGTATTAACACTAACTGCACATCAAACATGGTCATTCGGTCCAGTGCTGCCCTTCACTATAAAAATTCTTATATACATTTAAACTGAACACCTGTAACTCAACTGTTTGTCAAGGTTACCTATGTTTTGGTTACTCTACAGATCTACCTGAAGTAACTATGACAGTATTCAATGTCTGGTCCCCGAGGATGAGGATATATGGATTTATCCTGGTGGCAATATTGCTTTTAGATCACTCCTGACACACATGATCTAAAAATAGAGTAAACACTACATAAACACTACATGCCTCTGTGGGAAATCTACAGTACAAATCAATACTCTGCAAATAAAAACAATCCTTAAAGGTTACATAAGAATGTGTACCATCTGCTCTCCATCACTGAAATTCATAGGTTTAAAACTAAAAACATGGCTCCACGTGACAGTAAGATACCTCTTAATACGGTCAAGAAGCAGCTACAAAAGGAATGTGGACTTAATGCTTCCGATGAAGATCAGTCCACTCAGCCCCTCCTGCTCTCCCTCCTCAGCACTCACTACCTGCCACGTGCTAAGCATTAAAGACATCGTCAAAGAATGCTCAAACGCAAGTACACCTGTCTAGCCTTTCAAACTAAACTTTGGGGAGAAAAAATAAAGGGTTAGCAAGACTTTGTTTTAGACCTAAACTGAATTGTCTTTGAACCAGATTGTAGAAGTTACTAAATAATCCAGATAAGAAATTACGCCAGCCTTGGCAGGAAAGCTCAGTTGGTTGAAGCGTCATCCCAATACCCCAAGGTTGCAGGTTCAATCTCTGGTCAGGGCACATACACGACTGAATGTGGCAATAAATGGAACAACAAATCAATGTTTCTGTCTCTTGCTCTCCAAAACCAATAAATACAAATTAAAACAATAAAGAACTGTCGTAAAAGAAACTATGCTAGATGGTACAGATTTTTTAAAGAGTTCAACAACTTAAGACTAAAACACTCAGATCTAAGTCAACTATACTGAACAATCACTTCAAAATATAAACAGTTTCCACCATAAAAGAGCAACAGGACTTTCAGACACTTTACATTTCAGATATCAACTCTACCGGTATGGCTGCATCTACTTCAGAAGTCCTTTCTTTACTGTTCTGAAACACAGAACCTCAGTATCTTATGCGTTCACCATCTTCCCAAAAGAACTTAAAAAAAAACAAAAACAAAAACTCATCCAAAGGAACATCTGTGATAACTTACCTAATTAATAATGATTAATCAGTTTACTCAGAACAAAAATGATAGTCATTATTAAACAAGAACAGACTAGCTAACATTTATTGAGCCCCTACTACATGCCTGACATATTTTCTTTCAATGAAGCAGAATTAAAACGTTACTGCAATGGATCAACGCACAATACAACACCCAAGAGTAAGAAGAGGAAAGGCATGTCCAGGGACCACTGTTTAAGTTGAGCATCCTCAGAATGACCTTCTTGTGCTTCTAAGACTCTCGAATGGAAATGGGCTCTCCTTACACAAGTTATAGTCACAGTGAACAGCAAACATTCAGTAAATGTGGGGAAAAAAAAAGGGTTTTAATAATAATATTATCACTATGGATTATAATAGATATCTAAAGAGAAGAAACTAAGAAAGAACAAGTAATAGTATAAACTCATTTTATTGTACAGTGGGGGAATGAAGGGTGTTCATAAATGAAATCTACTCTGAGTATCTGAACCTTATAGCTGTGAACATACATTTTTTTGTTTCCGCTACTTTGGGGTGGGAATTAAAGAACCATTAACACCACAGTGTCCCTCCTTATTTTCTTAAAAAAGAGTTAAATAAAATTTAACCTCACTTTACCAGGTAAAGCCAGAATTTCTGAATGTAAGTTGCTAAGTATGCATACGCCCACAGAAACTTTTGCAACTAATTAATTCTAAGGTCTCTATCATTAAATTAAATGGCTTATTTATGCTTGGCGCAATTTATTTCTTGGTGGCACATAAAATATTGGTGCCTGACAACCACTGGCATCTTAGATTTAATTAAGAATAGTGTTAAAGAATGTATAATTAATTGTATGTTTTGCCCACATACCAACTGGCCCTAGACTTCACTATTCTCTTCGTTTTTCTGTCTCTTTTTTTTTTTTTTTTTTCAGGAAAAATACCATGTGAAAATGAAGCAAAGACAACCTCTGGGGTCGGGCAGAGGTAGGTTCACATCCCATCTCCAGAGTCCTGAAGCCTTGAGTATTGTTTCTCTTTACAATGGGTTGGCCAAAAAGTCCATTTAGTGTTTTCCATAAAACGAATGACACATTTTTCATTTTCACCAATACTTTATCAATTTGAACATTTTAAGTATGTTGGCTACTTCCTGCTTTTGGCTTCTAGTGGGTGGAGGCAAAGGGTGCTGCTGAACATCTTCCAGTGCGTAAGACAACCCAACAGCAAAGAATTATTTGGCCAAAATGTCAATAGTACCAAGAAACTTCGCAAATCACTTTAACATGTTTGACCAGTCACAGCACCTTCTCCATACAGTGCATAAATCTTTTTTTTTACGTCTCAGTCGTGTTTTTACCTTTCTTGAAATAATGCAACTTAATATGCTAAAAATGTTGCGCATTTTCTTCCATCTTCAATATTGAAAGGGCTACACAAAAATTCACCAATTTTGGTTTCTTTTTTTTTAATGCACGCTGATACGACAGCCGTCACAATACAATCTAACAAAATTGTCTTGAATGAAGTTGAAGACAACTAAGCACTACTAGAGCCATCATATGAAAAAAACATGGCCATTGGTTTTTGGCCAGACCAATATAAACTGTCTGTACCACCATCTTCCTTACAGGACTATGATGATTATTACAGATGGTGGAAAAAAACACAAAGGATATGGCCGAAGTTCAATAAACGATGGCTATTATCTTTTTTCTGTTGTAATCAAGTCCAGCAGTTTTTAATGCTGCCAAATTAACAAACGGCCTGAGGAGGAGCCTGAGATCTTGACTTAGAATGGTTCTATAACCATTAAGAACATTATTAGCTTAAGTCTCACTTCTGATCTATAATAAAAAGGTTCAAGTCACCAGGAAGAGGACTCTCTACATAACTGTACATGATTAAAGCAAATAAATGCGACTTGTAAGCTGCCACTAACCCCGTAAGACACCACTCTGGCTTGTTTCTAAACAGTAGCCACTTGGAATGCGCCTTCCCCAAAACTTAGACTTTGACTAACAGATCAGGTAACTCAGACAAATCATGCCCTCTGACAGAAACAGACAGCTGAGTTTTTAGGCAATCGCTTTAAGATAAAACGAACACATTTCCATACAAAAATGACCATTAAGTCCAGTTCCTGCCCTGGGTCAGGCCCGCCGCCATCCTCGCCCACTCGCTCACCTATGTAGTATTTCATCTCAGTGTCATGTTTGTTCATGAGCTCAAGGAGTCGCACTTCTATCTGGGCTTGATTTAGAAAAGCCTTCTTGTTCTTTATGATTTTAATGGCAACCCATTCTTGCTCCACACGGTCATAGGCCTTAACAACCTAAAAGAGAAGAGAGAGGAATTAAGTCTCTATTTCATTAATAGCAACGATTTCTCAGCAGCTGACAATTCACCTTAACGGTACATTTACCTAACTCTCCGTTCCTCATTCTCCGACTCAAAAGAGATCCTCTTCATTTCTACTAAGTAGCGTCCGTTTACTACTACTTCACAATCACTCAATTTTTTCAACTGAATTTCTTTTGCATCCTTATAGTATTTATAAATATCCATAAAGTAGACAACTCTCTTTCAAAATCATTTCCCTGCTTAAAAATTTATGAATTTTGCCCTGGCTGGTGTAGCTCAGTGGATTGAGCATGGGCCTGTGAAACAAAGGATCACCGGTTTGACTCCCAGTCAGGATACATGCCTGGGCTGCAGACCAGATCCCCAGTAGGGGACATATGAGAGGCAACCACACACTGATGTTTCTCTCCTACTCTTTCTCCTTCCCTTCCCCTCTGTCTAAAAATAAATAAATGTTTTAAAAAATTATGAATTTTAACAAGTGCCCCAGTCTTTCTTACTAAACAATACTGTAAGACAATCTTCCAACTCTTCCTTCAATGAGAGACAAGCCTTGTTCAAACCCCAAATTTTAGTGTAAAATATTTTAAAAGTTCTAAGTCAGCTGAAAAATGTAGATAACTTTCTAACTTTAAATAAGATTTTCATAGATAAAAACTAGGTAAGTGAAATAAAAATTTACACTAAAGAAGTCCAATACGAATGACCAGCACAGTCCTGCAACACAGGGGGACAAGGGTAGGTCCACAGCTGTTCTTACGACACCACGTAATAAGCAGTAATAATCACAGTCATGACTAAATAATAATACGAGAATAAACTGCTGCTTGTACTCATCACTGTAAACTTAGTTTTGCCCACCCCTCTATACATTAAATGCCATAATTAGAAAATTTTGATTGTTTTAAAATGAGAATCAATACTAAGAGGTGTTCCTGACCAAATCACCATACACACCTCTCATTTTAAATTTACTCATTTAAAAGAAGTTTAATACTAACAAAAAGGTTTACATAAAAATCAAGAAACATGGATAAAAGAAACTGTCTCTACCAATCACAAATAACCACTATAACTAATTAAATGAGTAATATTTATAATACTGTATATAATGTGAATAGTTCACAGTTTCAGATACATTATTTAGCACATTCAGAAAGTCTGAAGATGAAGGTAGACAAATTCCAAGTGATTCCAACTTGTGGGCTGAATAACACTGGATTACAGGATAAAAATGAAATATATGTTTTTTGAATGTATTGTTCAATGTTAAATACACTGTCAATGGCAAAGTAGAAACAACTCAGCTGCAATCAAACTTGGAATGAAAAACGCAGTATTTCTAGCTACACCCAATCCTAAAAATCACTGTCTACTGTCTCTTAAACCAGAAGCTACCCACAGAAACAAGTGACCAGGTGCTTCCCACTGTCTACACACACCGGCTGCACCAGAGCTGCAGTTCGGTGCCCAGGTCCCAAAGGTCTCCAGGACAAAGGCCATAGAGGGGGCCCAACTGTTTACTCAATTAGCAAACAGTTAACCAGCTAAATGCCAAAGCAATATATTTTTTTACCGACTCACACATTTCATTGGCAGTTTTTAAAAATACCAATATCCACAGGAACTACTATAAAGGACACATGGACAACTAAGGGGGGTGAAAATGGGAGGGAGGTGGGGAGCACTGGGGGGGTGGGCTGGGATGGGAATAAAAGACAGAAAACTGCCCTGGCTGGTGTAGCTCAGTGGATTGAGCACGGGCCCGCGAACCAGACAATCACGGTTCGATTCCCAGTCAGGGCACATGCCTGGGTTGCAGACCAGTTCCCTGCAGGCCAGTTTCCAGCAGGGGACGCACGAAAGGCAACCATACATTGATGTTTCTCTCCCTCTCTCCTTCCCTTCCCCTCTAAAGATAAATAAAGAAAAAAAAAAAGACAAAACTGTACTTGAACAATAATTCAAAAAAACAATATCCTTCCTGAATTCAGTTGCAGAGGGTCTGATCCAACTGGTCTGGAGCCTCGCCAATTGAGCTCCCCAGGGAAATGTCCACGTGCAAGAAGGACAACCACTGGCCAAGGAAATGAAGGAGTCCCTTCTTCAACAAGGACCTGGCAGAGAATTCAGAGAAAGCCTGACCAAGTCACTAGGGAGACATTCTCTGGTGAGTGGCGGGTCCTAATCCTGAACACACCACAGTGTAAGGGAGGGGCATCGATCTGACCTGGTAAAAACAAGTTTGATGTCAAAGAGGCCTGTATTTTCGCAGGTTCATAGGAACTAGAGTATAAAAAAATTACAGTGGAAGAGGAGGAAAGCATCTCTCTGAGCTCAGAGGCTGAGTATTCAGGGGAAACAAAGTTCAGAGAGTAGGTTACATGGCCATAATTCTTTTGGTGGACATCACAAAAGTAAAAACATCCTGTAGCTAACAACTGCCTAAGTGTTGGAGTAATTGTAAAGGTGGAGACAGCAATCCCTACACTGAGAGTGTTCATAACCTTTCTTAAAAGCTGAGCTTCAGAAGTACCTTTCCTTAAGAAGCTTTGCTAGAGAAAAGCAGCTGCTTCTGACAAAAAGTAATATTTTCATAAAGAGAAACACCACACACACTGAGAAACCCCAGACTCAAAAGAAAAGGGGTTACAAATCAAGAAAAAAGTTTCTGAATTATGTGCAATCGGTAAAAACTCCTTGATATATCGGAAAGAGGAACAACAAAAAAAATTTTAAGTAGTTCAGGACAAGTAATAATAAGACTCCTATCTTCTTCATTAAAATGTCAAAAGAAGTACTGATAACTCAATTGAAGTTAATGACTGACTCGCTGCACAACCTTTACAAAACAAAGGATTGCAGATCAACAGTAAACTGTACCTCAACAGAACAGCTCCGGACTCAATGACACACACTGTAGAGAGCTGGGGGAGCTACAGCCAGAGAAAAGGCTTTTCAAAGTATACAGGGGAAGACTGGCTAGCTCCTGGTCCAGCCACAGCTGACGAAACACTAATGTATTTAGGTTTTTGTGCTTTGTGTTCGGCCTGGGCAGGCAGGTGAGGGAAGGAGAGTTGTGGGTAAAGGAAAAGGCTAGGAATGAAAAGAAAAAACAAGTCCATTGGAGTTCTGAATTTCTGGAACTCCAGATGAACCTCATTTGTGGGACTCCAAGGAACTTCTATCAGCTTTGGTAGAAGCTGCTGAAATGGTCCTTCCAAAGCGTCGGAATTACCCCATCCCACTATTAGTAGTGCTGGTCCTTAGAGGTCTGACAGAGTTAGAAGATGACTTGAGAGAAAATCTCAGGGCACGGCCCCCGGCTTCCCAAGCATTTAAAAAATGCTTGTAGCAGCGGAAAACAGTAATTCTTTCCTCTCTGAAAAGGACCATCACACAGGAAGGTAAGCATCTCCAGCATTCATAATGAAGAATCATCCACAGACTACACAAAGCCCATATGAAAGGGATAATACTATATTTGTGATTAAAGTCAATCACTTAGTAGCCTGAAGTAGTTAGTAGCTACAGAAAGTAAATAAAGAAAAAAAAGGTCCAGTGGGAGTTTTACAGCTGATACAGTTTTACTATCTTTAGAGAACTATGGTAATCCAAACACGTATGCATTCCTTAGCTCTATTTACAAATACCGAAAAATATACCACTGAGGAAAGAACATAACACAACGTGATTCACTAAAAAGTTCTGATTTATGAAATGCAGCATCTTCCATTCAATTACCTGTCCAAAGGAACCTTTGCCTATCAAGGAGTCGATTTCGTAACGATCCATCCACTTCTCTCCGTTTTTTACAATATAGTCATAGTTGTCGTCGTCGTAACCATCGTTGTAAACCTTCCTCTCCTTCTTATGACTAGAGTCGTCTCCCTGGCCCTGCTGGTGTCTCCGCTTCTTTTTTGCATAGTAAACCTGGAACGAGAACACGTGGGGTTAAGTGTAATTTAAAACAGCACTGCAGATTGGGGGGGGGGGGGGGGGGCGTACCAAGAAACAAATCTACTATCGGTAGGAAATCAATGAATTTTTGTTCTTTATAACAAATACAAAAAATTAAATAAAAAATTTCCTGTACTTGCTATCTGAATTACAGTATGACACTGATATATAACCAATGAAATATATCAACACTGAAAGTCACTTTAAAATTATACTGCTTATACATTTTATAAATAGAAGGCGTTAAGACACTGGCCCAAAGTACCCCATGTCAGAAGAGTAACAGGACTCGGTTTACATTTATTTTTGAAACTACGGTACACTTTACATACAGCGAGGTGGCATGATCTTGTGAGTGTAATATGAGGCATTTTGAAAACTATGCATATGCTGACATAATCAACAAATGACAAACAAAATAAAGGATATTTTCATCTTCCTCCTGTTAAGCTTCCTCATGACCCTTTCCCATCAATCTCCATTTTATATTGGTCATGAGGCAAGGAGATTTTATAAATGCAAATTTAAATGTACATACATGATATATTCTCAGACATGCTCAATTTTTCAGCCTGTAATAATGTAACAATGAAGGAAAAACAGCCACCCCATCCCCCAACACTCAGGGCCACAACCCTGGTGCTGCTTCCCAGCTTGGGCTATCTGCCTTCTGTTTTCCTTACAAAATAGTTTCTAAGACCAGTAAAAAAATAATAGGTCAATGAGGCAACAGTCCAAGTTACTGGTAAATAACTTTGAGGAAATTATAAATTAGGTTCCATAGAGTAACAGAAAAACTCTAGTTTACAAGGTAGCAATACCGTTAACAAGCTTCAACAAGTTACTATTAATAACAGCTTAACAGTACATTTTAATATTTATCAGATCTTAACAAACTGACATTAATAAAAGTAATTTATCCGAGATTCTCAGATGACCAAAAGCTACTTTGGCACATCGTTTACAACTCAGTGCGTACAAAGCTCAACTCAGGAATGTTCCTCAAGGAGTTGATTCTAATTTTATCTAGTCACATCGATATAATAACACTGGCATTAAACAGCATCAAGCCACTGTGAAATTCATACATATATAAGAACATCTTTTTTGATAAACGGCTCTAAAAGCTGGTGGAGGACAAGCCTTTAATGTGAAAGATGTAGGGCTCACATTGGAAGAGAAAAAAAAAAGCACAAGCGTGTCCGCTCTTCTCCAGAAAAGCTCACTGAATAATTAAGTTACAGAGCCAGAGTTGAGGCTAGAAGCAAATGGCAATCAGCCAAAGGGCTAAGACACTAAAGAATAAGTTTTAGTGGCAAAGAGTCAAGTTGAAAGATGAGTGATGAGTAATTCGAAGTGTTGTCTATGTTTTCTCCCTGACCTACTTCCGTTCCAAAGGGCTTTCAGATATCTTACACCGAAAAGATACAGATAAAAGAACACACGGAAAACTTAAAAAGACAATTTAAAACCACAAAATATAGATCAAATAAACTAGGCCAAATGCCTGTTAACTGGTTATTAAATATATCTCAGAGCTCCCTCGGCATCCATGGTAAAAGTAGAAACAGATACATAAAATCTTAAGCAAAATTCTAACATAAACATACTTTTATAGTGTCACTGTGCCCTCACTTTCCTTTCTTATTTTAAAAAAGTTATTACATAAATGACAGCATATATTAAAGACAACTCTGAAGAGAGGGGGAAGTTATCTACAAGTATAATATTTTTTGCAATCCTTGTTTGTGTATCCTCCTTCTTTTACATAATTATATTGTCTGTGGATCATTAACTTACCAGTTTTCACAATAATCATCAACACAACCACCACTGGGGTAAAACAAAAAAGTTGAGCACGACTAACAGGTCACAAAATAACTTTTCCCCTATACTGCAAGAGACACGCTGTTATAACAAATCAACAGTCTTACCTCATTAATATGCTTATATGTTTTGATCAAGTCAACAGAGAGTTTCCTCAGCGGAGCGGTTGCGGGGTCACGGAAGGTTTGGGGCATCCGCCTCTGTAACATGACAATATCAGGCATCACCTTAAATAGACAGAAAAGACTAGCACTTTAACTATGCTGTACTGTTATGAATTCCCTCCTCTGTAACCCATGTATATGTTACTTTTTAAAAAGGCATTTACATTAGAGGATTATATGTTCCATTATCTCTTTCAACCAGCTCCACTAAAGACAATGGCAAATGATTCAATGAAATTAACAGATAATAAACCCAGCTGCGCGAGGCTTCGATCCTGTTCCCCGAATGAAAAAGTGGAATTGCAGACACGCCTCTGGTCCAGGAGACTCTCACGATGCTGCCCAAGAGGGCTTCTCCATCATAAAGCTAGCCCAACAAAAACTTTCTCCTGAATTATTCCTAAAGCCTGGCCTGGTTCATGACAGTCAAAGACAAACCCAATGTCAGTTTCCTCAACAGGATTTCAGGACCCAGTTGGCACCACAAAGCAAGCTGGCTGTGAAGCAGGAATGGAGGCAGGTGCTGCAGAAGTACAGCTCCCCAACACCCCAGGCTCTGCCCTCTGCTCCCACTTCTTTCCCACACTGAGTCAACAGGCCCTCCGCAGCCCCGCCCTGTGCTCTGCTGCTCAGGACCAGTGGACAGACTACACACTTACACACTCCCTGGTCTGAGGCTTTTCTCCTCCTCTTCCCACTCAAAGGAAAACTCCGTAAGGGCAGAATTCTTTTGTTCAATGTTGTATTCCCTGTGCCTCAAACAATGCCTGGCACACAGTAGGTGTTTAATAAATATTTGAATAAACAAATGCATCCACTAATAATCAATATCCCTACTTATGATTATACTAGGAATGTGCCACAAACCAGTTCCACAGGACACCTTAAAGCCGGTGAAACTTTCTTTTAAAAAACTCCTTTCACCCATACTCCATTTCCTCCACTCCCTGCCATGCCCCCCCACCCCCCGCCTCGCCCTGAGCCAATCCTAAACCACATCTTTTTCATCACCTAATAGGCAGTCAGGGTTCAAATGGGAGTTTCCAGCTAGAGGGGCAGGGAGAGCAGAGCAGGTGCCTGCCCTTCCCCTGTACCAACACCCAGGAACACTGCAGCTAGCTCATCACCAGCACTGATACTTGTTCCCTACTCTTCCACTGTGGGTCAGGACGGAAGGGGATCCCAATGGGGCTTTTGCAATTAAAAAACACATCCTCAAAACCAAGTAATTGGATCAAGGTACCTACAGTCACCACTAGTGGCCATCCTGGGGTTCCCTTCTGGCTCTTACTGACATTTACTCCAGTATAATCTACTGAGCCCAAAGTGAATGATGCAGGCCCTCTCAAAGGACACTTTGGTCACTTTGAGAGGCAGAGAGACAGCAACCACATCATACTGAGCAAGTCTTCAGAGAAATGCCTGGAGTTTTGGGATAATTAACCAAGTTAAGGAAGGAGGGAAGGAAAAGAGAAAGAGAGAGGAGGGAAGGAAGGAGGGAAGGAAGGAAGGGAAGGAGGGAAGGGAAGAAGGGGGAGGGGAGGGGAGGGGAGGGAGAGAGGAAAAAAAGAGGGTTCTAAGGTGACACTGGACATAACCAAAGCAGGAAAACAAAAAATCACCACCCTTGTGAAATGAAAAAATGATAAGAGTTATCACAGCAATTACTAGGTACACATTCTCTCTAACCAGTATTAACATTAGTTTCCTGTGCACCTACACTCAAACTCTAAGAAGTTATCCACAGGGTACGTTCACAGAATTACTGTTAATAATGATCTCTTCTCATGATCATCTCTGTCTTAAAGTTCCAATAAGGTTTAGGGAAAAAAAACCTCCAGCGATTACAACAATTTTTCTGAAAAGATAGTAAGAATAAGAAAATCTGATTAACTTTTCTAATATAGTCTTGCTTTTCTAAATATAAATAGAAGGTACAGCCAGACTCACAGAATATTTTATTCTTGCACTATTCCTTGAAGATTTAATGAATAGACAGGATCAATAATAAGTATGCCAATTACTTTATGTGAATGAATGTTATACTCACTTAAGGTAATACTCCTCAACGTATTTCCTTTTTTATTTTTGAAGACCGTGGCACTACCTTCATGCAGGTAATCCACTCAGCAAGCCCCTGCTTGGACTGCTGAAGTACACAGCCTCACTGTGAGGTTTCACAGAATCTGAACCAGTGACACATTTCATTACAAATGTAATGAAAGTCGGTAGAAGGTACAACTACTGTTAGAAGCAAATGTGTTACTTAAGGAGCCAATTATAAAATAACAACAGTGGTAGCAAGTATTTGTTACAGACATTTTGAGCATGAATATTTCTACATGTCTCTCACATAATCCTCTAAACAATCTCTGAAACATAAGTACTGCTCCTCTCACCACTTTACAAATGAGAAACAGGAATCTCTGGTATGAAGTTACTTGACGAAGTCTTAGAACCAGTGAAGAATACAGGTGAGATGACAGGAACTAAGGCCATCATCTCATGCCCAGTCTCATGCTTGAACTGCAACACTAGGCCAGGAGCCCCAACCTACCCTCCTGGTTGAATCATTTTTAACTTATTTGTTGGGCAAAATAATTGAGTCATATATAACAAACACCAACAAAATAAGCACATGCATTTATTAAAATTAGTCATATACAAAACTGTGAATGTGTTTAAGTTTTTAACTTGCCCATTCACAATTCCACTGGCATTTCAAACATCAGAACCACTGACTGTATCCTTCCAGGACTAATCATGCTCACTCAAAACACCAACATCGCACAATTTTTAAAAATCCTTAAATGTACACTATGTAATATAAAATTGGGTGTGGGTGTAAATCTTGACCAAGTAATGACGTTCTTCTGCCTCTGACACAAGTGCACGCTATGGACTTGGCGCACCCTACAGCACTGTGGACCAGGCCCACAATTGGCCGCACACCGCCTGCGAAGCCAGGTTGAACAGCCAAGTCTAAATACCTTACTTTTCTTGGATGCCTCTGGCAACAGAAGTTACTATTTCAGGAGCTTCTGTATATTTACACCAGATGCATTCTGTTCATAAAAAAAAATTAGCCCTTGAGCCAGACTTATTTCACTGCTTCAAAAAGGGCCTTGTACAGAGGAGGTTCCAAAATAAATGCAAAGAACAAATTAATTTCTACAAACTAACACTCCTTTCACTAACTTTCATTGTGATTTCATGTTAGGTAACCAAATTTTCTATTTCTCAATATTGTGCTGCCAAAAGTACAAATCCTGAATTAGAAAATAACTTTTCTAAATACTGAGTTACAAATCTATATAAGACTCAAGACCAGCCCTGTGTATTTGATGCTTTCTCCACTTCCTGCTTCTTATAGTCTCCAAGTCAAGAAAATGTATAGTAATACAGCAAGCTCCTTTCTTCCCTTCCACAACGGAGAAAAGGCCCACTGCATTGAAGACTCAAGAGCTCACCAAGCTGAAGGTGCTAGTTCCCCCACCCCACTCCGAGTCCTCACTGTAGAAAGTAAAGTTGGTGAGCTTCTCTCCAGCTGCTTCGGCTACCTGCCTGGGCACCCAGAAGAAGCCACGCCCTCCAGCCTCACGTCTCTGGGCCCTTCTGTGTGCAGACACAGATCACGAAGCAGAAGAAAAGCAGTAGTTTCTACCTCCTGCTGAGGTTAAGTATCAAGAGCCAAAACAATCTTTTTTTTTTCTGAATAAGATGCCAAAGTATAAGGTCCAGAACTTTATTTAGAAGTTATTTTCTAGTGTAATTATCTATTACATCCATTTTATTTATATTTACCTCATATTTTTGCATGTAATGCAGAATTAGAAAATAAAATTATATTCTACTTTCTTGTTATTTTGAGAGCTGTTAATAAAGCTGAATGTCCTACTCCGGATATGAATACTGGACAAGCTGAAGAACTACGAAAGGTACCGAGAAAACAGCCCAGAGATTCAGCATCCCAAAAACTAACCATCCTTTCCCATCCTTGTCTTTATTATGTTTCTCTTCTTTCCTAAATTTTTAAAAAATATTTATTTATTTTTAGAGAGAGGGAAAGGGAAGGAGAAAGAGTGGGAGAGAAACATCAATGTGTGGTTGCCTCTCACGTGTCCCCCAATGGAGACCTGGCCTGCAACCCAGGCACATGCCCCGACTGGGAATTGAACCAGTAACCCCTCGCTTCAGAAGCCCGTGCTCCATCCACTGAGCTACACCAGCCAGGGCTTCTTTTCTAAATTTATCTTTTGAACAAAACTGTGTTTAAACTTGTATGAAACATTACCAAAAATAAAATGTTAAAGTTAGCTCATTTCAATTTATTTATATAATAAACCTAGTTTAAAAGATGACAGGATGATTAACAAGAAACAACAGAGTCAAATAACAAAATTATAAAATTTTAGAGCTAGAAGGGGTGGGATGGGTTTGGGAGGGGGGTCCCTAGTCTAAGGTCACAATATTACATTCAAGGAACAGACAGAAGGTCCGTGTGACCTGACTCAAGTCCTACAGCCAGTCCTGCAACAAGACCTCGAGCCCACGCTTTATGACTTGCAGCCCATGCCACAGCAGCACCCGGCTGGAGTGTTCCACACTCCAATTATAGGAAAGCTCTCTCCTATTCCGACTGCCTTATAGAGTCCAGAAATATATGGGGTTTGGCGAAAATATTCTGCTGAATACTATTTTATAATATAAATATTGAATATGAATATTACTTAAGACAGTCTTGTACATCATATAAATCTTTTCAAATACTTTATAGATTAAAATGAAATCCTAAGTGAATTATCTCTTATTTTAAAATAATCCACAAATAGCCCTGGCTGGTGTGGCTCAGTGAATTGAGCACCAGCCTGAGAACCAAAAGGCAACAGGTTTGATTCCTAGTCAGGGCACGTGCCTGGGCTGCAGCCCAGGTTCCCAGTAGGGGGCACACAAGAGGCAACGACACACTGATGTTTCTCTCCCTCTCACCCTAAAAATAAATAATCTTTTAAAAAAATCCACAAAGAAGATGTTCACTGTATCTAAAAACAAGCATTTTGCTAAACTACCTACTATAATAACTATAAAACTAACTTGAAAGAACTGGAATTTTCCCCTCCATTGAGGGCAGGTGTTGGAACTCACAGAGCACTGTATCAGAAGAAACAGGCCTGGGCTGGACCCCAGAGTTAACTGCTTCCACATTTAAAGCTGTCAGTCCCATTGGCTGTGAAACAGATAAAAACAGGCGTCCTGACAGGCTGCTTTTGAACAAGCAGAAATTGAATCCTAATATGCTTTGTTTCTTAAAAATACAATACATACTCTGGTTTCTCCGCAGCTTGCACAAATCTTTTGCCTGTTCCTAAAAGCATGCAACTGAAAAATTGTGCTGCCGCTACTTTCTGGACGTCCAGAGAATTTTCTTCTACTACACAATTTAATACTTCCCAAACCTGAATATTCTGACCAAATCTTTAATTCTGAAACATATGACTTCTCACTTAAAGTCCTGCCATAATTCATCTTACTGCTAACTGAATGTTATTCACAGGCTACACACATTTATAAAAGTAAAGCTAGTTTAACTAGACAAAATCTTATAATACATACAAGGGGGGCCCCTTATAATGACATTATTTAACTGGAGCCAAACACATTTCCTCCAAATAGCCCAGTATAAGAAATACTTTCAAATTTCCCACATTTTTGATCCTCACTTAATATGTTAAAAGACCTAAACGAAACAGTGGTGAATTTCCAATTCTAAAGCATGCACAGAAATGGCATCTTCAGCACTCTGTGAGACTCAGTCCTGGCAGGGAAGACAACTACCACAATGCAGCTGGTAAAAGATCCTCCCCAACCCAAATCAGCGCAGTGAGTACAGATAGCTCAGGCAGATATAAAAAATACACACCCACACTCACATGCATGCATGTGTACATCAGGAGATTTCAGCATTTACTCTTTATAAAACCTATTTTTTCTTGAAAAGTGGTGACTCTCGTCTATCAAGATGAACATCAACCATGGTTAATTTGCATTGTATCTGTTCCTTTTCGGTTAAAAAGGTGTTATATTTCATTTTTGCAAATTATACAAGCTAAAGTAGCTTATACAGGCCTAAAATCAACTCCTTATGTTTGCTGTAATGGACTCTGACTTATTCTATCATTTACATTTTTCTTCTTAACCACCTTTGCCCCACCGCTCTATAAAAATAAGCTTTTAGTTTAATATTTTTCTTTACATTTACCCCCAGTTTAACATTCTTTTTTAAAAGGAGGCATTTATTTATTCAATATTTACCACAATGTGTTTTTTTTTTAAGATTTTATTTATTTATTTTTAAAGAGAGAGAGACACACCAGTGTGTGGCTGCCTCCCATGTACCTGTCTCCCAGGGGACCTGACCCACAACCCAGGCATGTGCCCTGACTTGGAATCAAACCAGTGACCCTTTGATTCACAGGCCCGCGTTCAATCCACTGAGCTACACCAGCCAGGGCTCTTAAATATTCTTTAAAAATAACTTTCTCCCCTCCCTGTCACAGAATGAAATAATGTGATTATGTTTTAGTGCATTTTAAGAGAAATACATTAAAAAAAACAAAACAAAACAAAAAAACAAACACCAAACTCTTTAATGCGACCTTAATATATTTTGTCCATCTAGAATTTAGTATCATTAAAGCATTTTACCTATTTATTACCATTTTAAGGAATAAACTACCATTCTGATAAGTTGTTTCTGGCACGTCATGAACCTACCTGGTTGGTTAGAGGTTGCTGGATCTGGTCAGAATAAGATAAGGCAGAAACCTGTTGGTCACTTATGGTTGGCTGGCGACGGTCACTGTACTGATGTGAATGGGGCATCTGTCCAGCCATCTGAAGGCCAGCAGCATGGAATGAAAATGACGGTGCGAGCCGAACAGATGAAGGTTTGCATGCTGAAGTCTCTCCTCCTACAAGACATAAGGGAGGGTTACCAGAGGTACTTAGTGCCTGATGTCTGTATATTTAAAGTAAGGACTTTAACAATGTTCAGTGGCATCAGAAACCTCTAAAACTATAAACATTAACTCACTTAACACAACAGTTCTATGTTAAATGGCATAAAATACAGTAATTAAAATGAGTATAAGTCTGTATTAAGAGAAAACCTTAAATAATTTTGTAAAGCAATAGGAATATACTTGTATTTTCACACATGAGGTTTTCATCAACAGGGAACCATAAATTACATAAATAATCTTCCAATTCTTGTGAAGGGCCTCTCCAATGGACTGGGCTCCTCAGAAACCAATAGAAAGGTGCTAAGACGCTGCTTTGCATCTGTCAGGTGTATGGCAATTAATACCCCAAGCATTCCCAAGCCGGGTGAAAGACTTGTTCTAATGGTGCTCACCACTGACACAGGTAACCAAAGATTCAGCACATGATACATAAAAACAAATCCACAGGAATGCTGGATTGCTCTGGACTCTTCCAACATCCCTAAGAAAACCAAGATCTGGTAAGCCTGCCACAAGGATGAATAGTCAATGATTACCTTACGGATAGGCTAGGACCATCCATGACCATGATTTTCATGGTAGAAATAAATTTCATAGTAGAAATGAAAATGTTTTTGGCCCATAAAAGTATTTGGCAGCTAATAAAAGTTCATTATTTCTTAAAGAGGAAAAAGAAACCCTCCTTACATTCAACCAAACTTGCAATCACAGACTAAAGCCAAAAGGCAGGCATAAAAATCCTGGTCAGCAAACTCGAGACGCAGCATACTCGTGCTTCTCTTCCTGTTTAAAGCAACTATCTCCCACCCCATCACCAAACAAACTGTTCAGCAGCAAGGTCCTTTTCTAAAGCCTGCTCTTCTCCAGACACACAACAGCACCGGTCCAAGACAGACCCCAAGAGGGACTCTCAGCCAGGCTGCTGCAGTTTGAAATCTCAGTTCCACACTTACCAGCTGTATGGCCCTACACACCTAATTTCCTGATAATGATAATCTCTACCTCAACAGGCCATGGTGAAGGTTAAGTGTTTTAACACATGTAAAGTACTGAGAACAGCTCCAGTAATTAATAAATGGTCAGTATCAGCTGCAATTACTATGCTGTACAGTGCAGGATGACAGGACAGTGCCCATTCTTGCAGGCTCTACCTGAATGCTGCACAGACTCTGCCAACTGAGAAAAGCCAAGCCCAGTACCTCCAAATGTAAGTTCCCCTTCTATTCTACCACAGTGGATAACCTGTCTTTCACCGGCCCACCAGAACCAAAGTTCTGGGAGTCTGGAAGAGTCTTCTCCTCCAGAGACCATCTCAAGCAAACAGCCACCCAACCTTGTGGGTTCCACCTCGCGTAGAACACTCCAATACTACCTCTTCTTTTCACCTCCATTACTCCACGCCTCACTTAGATGAACAACTGCAAGACTCCTCGCAGTTATCTGTCTTTATTCTGCCCATCTGCAACTTTGCATTTATTCAATAACATGACTAGAGTAACCCTTCTAAATTGCATCTCAAGTCTTCTTACCCTACTTTTATCTTGACTATCACTTGCTTTAGCATTGCTTTTATTTTCTATTTTAAAATTTATTTATTTATTTATTTATTTATTTATTTATTTATTTACTTACTTACTTACTTACAGAGAGAAGGAAAGGGAGGGCGAAAAACATCAATGCAAGAGAGAAACACTTACCGGTTGCTTCTTGTACGTTCACCACTGGGGAACTGAGCCTGCAACCCAGGCCGGTGCCCTGACTGGGAATCAAACTAGTGATCTTTTTCTTTGCAAAATGACTCCCAACCCATTGGTCAGGGACATAGCATTGACTTTAGAAACCCCAGCTTCTCTCCCTCCACTATACCATAAGGCCCTTAGCTTACTCTGAATATGGAAAATAGCAATGTCCCTATAATGGCAGAAAGGTAATTTTCCTAAATACTTCATTACTCATTATAAAAAAAATAGTCAATTCAAGCATGTGAAGCAACTTTGTTCAGACAAACAAACAAACAAACAAACAAATAGCCATGACCGGTGTGGCTCAGTTGATTGGGCATCATTTCGCAAAATGAAAAGTTGCAGGTTCAATTCCCAGCTGGGACACGTGTGTAGGTTGTCAGTTTGGTCCAGGTTGGAGCACATGAGAGAAAACCGATTGATGTTACTCTATCACATCAATGTTTCTTTTCTTCTCTTTCTCCCTCCCTGCCCCACTCAAACCAACAAATGACTATTTTTTTCTAAACTGTAAAAAATGCAAAACCCAGCCCTGGCCAGTGTGGCTCCGGTGGCAGGAGCATCATCCTATAACCAAAAGGTCGAGGGCCTGACTCTTGGTCAGGGCACAAACCCAGGGTGCAGGTTTGATGCCTGGCCCAGGCACCTATGATCCCTGGTCCGGGGCGTACAGGAGGCAACCAATTGATGCTTCTCTCTCACATCAATGTTTCTTTCCCCTCCATTCCTCTATCTCTAAAAGCAACGGGGGAAAAAGAAGTCCTCAGGTGAGGATAAAAACACTGGACATTTATTTATCCTATGGAAAGAACTGATGATGTGCACAGTTAAAAATACCAAAAACTGGGAAGAAATGTTAACAGCTCCTATAAGTAAACATTAAGAAGGCTGAGGCCCTGAATGACTAACAACTCCGGGTCTTAGTCTCCCTGTCTATGAAGCGAGGACGCTATGACACTAAGCCTATTCCCTTTGGTCTGCTATGAATTGAAAATGAGGTGCCACAGTAGGCTGCAGAATGGTCTGGCATATAAACAGTATTTTCAGAAATATTCTGTTTCTATTATCAACACCACTAATATATACCATAATTAAACTTATTATTACAGAAAAAAGTGCAAATCATTACAATATAACTTAAACAATTATCGTTTTAACCTATGTGTCAAAAAAGGGCCATCATTCTTGAACCCCCCACCATCCTATGACGCTTCCCAATTAATAACAAAAAATTAGTATCTTCATTACCAAAACCGGGTTAGTTTTAACTTCATATAAATAGGTCTCTAAACTTAATGTTCTCCTTATAAGCTGGTTTGTTCACTATCATTACTTTATAGCAGGGGTGTCAAACTCATTTTCACTGGGGGCCATGTCAGCCTCGCAGTTGCCTTCAAAGGGCCGAATGTAATTTTAGTGTCTTTGACAGACACAGAGATGGTATATATTGTTTCTCCAGCTTTTTAATATTAATCTGTTTTTCCACTAGCAATTTACAGAAATTCTCTCCACTCCACTCCTTCACCAACACGTGGAATCAATCAGCAGCCTTTCTAATTTCAATCATTACCAAGGGGGTGTGAAGTGGCACTCCACTGTGACTTTAACTTGTATGTCCCTGGTGACTATAAGCATCTTTTCACTGAGTAAGCACTGGCCATATGGATATCCACTTATGTGAAATGCCTGTTGGGGCATGCTTTACCATTTTTCTATTAAAGAAAACTTTTTATCACACAAAAAAAATCACAGACACAGACAACAGTAATGGTGATGACCAGAGGGAAAGGAGGTTGGGGGGTAAGTAGAAGATGGTAAAAGAGGATAAATGGTGATGGAAGGAGACTTGATGTGGGTGGTTTATAAACAACACAATATCCAGGTGACATGTTACAGAACTGGACACATGAAACCCATGTAATTTTATTAACCAATGTCACACCAATATATTCAGTAAAAAGGAAAAAAGGAATAGGCAGTTGCACTTTTAATGCCTGGAAACAAAAGCACACACAATCAGGAGGGTAACTGAGTTTAAGTTCACAAGTAAATTTTGCTCATCATGGTATCATTCATGAGTACCAAGAACAGTGGTGGCACATGGCTGGCATTCAACAAATATTTGCGCACTGAAACAAAAAAGATCCATCAGTAATATTTAGAACATGAAGAAATGGTTGAGGAAGGAAGGGAGTTGAAGGGGATAAGAATGGAAGAAGTATTTTTAAAATGAGGCCTCATTGCATCCGAAATAAAGAAGTCTAATCATAGCACAGGCTAGAGCTACTGCATAACAGTCTATTTCTCTCATTCATTTTTATATCCTGAACACACAGCACAGCACCTGGCTCCACAGGTGTTAATATATTTTAAGGCTAAACTACATCATGACTCTATCAATTAACTAATGATAAGGATAAATAAACTGGTTTCTTATTGCCCCCTAGTTAGTGGCTAATACATGTCACTACAGAATATGTGGGCACACACACATAAACAGGATATTCAACTGTCTACAGACACAGTGAAATTGCTCCTGTGAGACCTAAATAAATGCTCACATTTTTCAGTCTAAACATTAATTAAATCTGTGTATTAAATTGTTAAGAATAACAATGGGATAGAAATAAAAACATGTATCTTTAAAGACCTATAATATCAGACTTTCACTTCTGACCATTTTAGAGCACCTGGCACCAAACCACCTCATTTACAATAAATTCCTGTAAAACTGGTCAAAACACACAAAATAACAGCTTTCCGACATTACAGGACAGGCAGTGCAGAACTGTGACCACTGAGAAAAGGGCACAAGACCGGGCCAACCCCACAACCACCTGTGCCCCCTTCTCTGGAGGCAGTCCCAGAGTGCAGTGTGGGAAGGGGGAGCCCAAGCAGACTGCAGTGACCTCACTGAGCTGAGGAGATGGAGATGAGAGTTCAAGGCTACTGGGTGGGCAGCAGGAAGCAAGCAAGCAGAGAAGGAGCTCCATGAATCTGTACCCAGGGATCCCTGTGACTCTCAGTCAAATACAAAGCTGCACAGGATCCAAGGGAAGGCCCAGGAGGCCAGGCAAAGCACAAGCCCTAGGAAGGGAGCCAGGAGCTGAACGACCGCAAGAACTCACAAAGAATGGGGAGACAGGAAGTGCTCCAATCACCAGGGTGAGAAAACCCAGACTGACCCCATGGACAATCAACGATCAA